AATACTGAGAGAGAAAAGGGCCAGGCTCTTGAAGTGGACTGACAGCTAGATGGATAAAAATGATTAACTGATTTGATTAGATACCGCTGCTCTGTTTCTTACAACCCTAAATCATAAAAAGTTGGGACAGTGTGTAAAATCTAAATTAAAACTGATAACAGTGATGTGTAAATCCTGTGTCCTGTGTTACATTGAAAACAGTACAGCAGACAATTATTTAATGTGATACCTCATCAGTTTTATTCTTTGTTCCAAATAAACATTCACTTCAGTTCTGATGCAACACATTCTACACAAAGTTGGGACAGTGAAGCATTTACCACAATGTGATGTTGCCGTTCCTTTTCACAACACTTAAGACATTTAGGGACTGAGGACACCAAGTGATTACATGTGTCAGGTGTCATTTTGTCCCATTCTTCCTGCAAACAAATCTTAAGGTGCACAACAGTCCTGGGTCTTCGTTGATACAATCTGCATTTCAAAATGTGCCACCCATTCTCTACTGGGGACAGGTGAGGACTGCAGGCAGGCCAGTCCAGCACCCACACCCTTTTCCTCCACAGCCAGACCTTGGTAATGTGCACTATGAGGTTTTGCATTGTCTTGATGAAATATGCATGGGCGTCCCTGGAAAAGATGTCGTCTTGAAGGCAGCATATGTTGCTCCATCATCTCTCTGTATGTTTCAGCATTAATGGAGCCATCACAGAAGTGTAAGTGACCTTTGCCAAGGGCACTGACACAGCCCCATGGGAAAATAAGCTTGTGACTGGAAAAATGTTGTTTAGTAGTCCAGTAAGCACAAATGATACAGTGAACCTATCAACAACACTGCTGACAGCAGAGCACACCCCAGCTTCAGAGAAGAACCTGAAAACTTAATGCATCCTGAGGAACTAACGCATCACAAATGCTAACAACTGTATTTTGCAAAATGTTTGGCTGTTGCTTTTGTAGTAGTCTGTTTGTAGAACTGAGAACACTCAGTGATATTATGCATGTGACTGGTCCTCCTTTCTCTCCCCCTCTGTCCTAAATTGTGCTGCAGAGACCTTCCTCAGTATGGACACAAGCAGTGGCAATCCTACTTTGGACGGACATTTGATGTCTACACCAAGTTGTGGAAATTTCAGCAGCAGCACAGGTTATTTTCATCTCTTATCCAATATTATCCTGTCACATATGATGTAAATGAAGCTAAATGGAGGCCCACTGTGACACTGTACTGATATGTTTCTCACCTGGTTCTATTGCACTCTGGTTGATTTATGTGGTTATTTAGTTCTTAGTACCTTATATTCTCTATTTACTGACAGGCAGGTTCTGGACAGTCGATATGGCTTGAAGAGATGGCAGATTGGGGAAGTTGCATCTAAAATTGGACAGCTATACTACCACTACTAGTAAGTCAGACCATACATATCACCAGTGGTGGAAGAAGTACTCAGATTGTTTGTCGAAGTAGCAATACCACAGTATAAAAACAATGTTACCTTTTAAAAGTCCTGCATTCAAATTGTTATTTAAGTAAAAATGCAAAAGTATTGGCATAAAATATACTTAAAGTACCAAAAGTAAAAGTACTTGTTATGCAGCATGGCACAGTTCACATTAATGTATATCATATTATTGGACTATAATTACTGATGTACTATCGTGTACATCACATTTACAGCTGTTACAGTAATGTTAATGTTGCACTATATTATACTGTACTGCTGGGTAGCTTGTGAATTTCCCATGAGGGTCAATAAAGTCTTATGATTATACAATATTTTATTTAATTAATCTCAGTCTGAAAAGTAGCTAGTAACTAAAGTTATCAAATAAATGTAGTGCGTAAAAAGTACAATATTTTTCAGGCAAATGTAGTGAAGTTGAAATATGGAGTAGCAGAAAATGAAATACTCAAAGTGCAGATACCTTAAATTTGTACTTAAGTACAGTAATTGAGTAAATGTGCTTAGTTAATTTCCACCTTTGCACATCACTAACTATTGTCATTGTCTCACAGTAATACAGAAAATGTGAGACTAGTGCTACATATGGCTGAATTCTACAAAATTTGGGCTGGATTCCATCCCAGCACATCATGGTTAGACAACACGAGCCATAGTCCACTGATTCATCAAGACACCCTACGGGGGGCTTTACTCATGTTAAAGGTCCCCTGCAGAGTTTTGACCACTATTAGCTGCTGTGTAGAAGGTCCCCTGTTTGTCAGCATCTTGTTGATTATACCTATGCACACTGACAATCGATATGCATTCCGCTGCTCTTTTGCATTCCACTGTATATGAAAGTGGAAAAAATATTTTGTGAATTCAAAAAATAATATGAGCGTACTGTCAAGTGACTCTGAGTCCAGATGCTGATAGCAGTAAAATGCATGGACGCTCTGAAGCTGATTATCATTAGCAAAGAGTAGTGTAAGGGGGGAAAGCCCTACGGCAAATATCCGTGACCAGACTTAAACCGTAGATGTTACATATGCAGTGTGTATCTGTACATGGCAGTTTGTCGTACCTGCGCCACCAGAGACGGACAATGATTCACCCATGGATTTTCTTGTGTGAGGGGTCTCAGTTGTTTGTTTGTAAATGAATGCTGCCTTTAATTGGTTTGTAGTATACAATTTGAATAGTGGGCTAAAATGTTATTTGAACATTGCTCCACTTCAGAGAAACTGTACACCTCCTTTTTTCTTGATTGACAGCCTTCGTACCTCAGAGACAAGTTACCTGAATGAGGCCTTTTCCTTCTACTCAGCCATCCGTCAGCGATCCTACTATTTCCAGGTTAACAAAGAGGACAGGCAAGTTCCAAATCTTCTTCTTACAGTAATGTAATTTGCAGTTTCAGGTAGTAGATACCTTTGCATGGTATATAATAAATTGCTTGGAGATTTATTTTGTTTTCTGCTGTTATTTTAAATTGGAGTCAAATGCCACTCTTTCATTTAATAGATTATGCATATGTCTAGCAGTTTTAAAGTTTAGAGGTTTGTTTAAAGTTGTGTTTAGTAAACTTGTATGTGTTTTGTTTCTGTCAACAAATCCCATTAAATGTGCCTCTTTCAGTGCTTTATAACTTCAAGTCCCTGTTAGTGGCATGCTGCAAACTCACTGGTTCCTCCTGAACATGTAATAGCTTGTGATGAATATGTATGTTAATTTCCTAAATCAGCTCATCACAAATTTTTTAGCAAATGTTATGTGCACATTATGTGTTCTAGTGAGCCTTTCTGGGAGCAGAAAGCAGAAACATTTTAGTTGTTTCTGGACAACAACAGAGCTCTATGGTACAGAGAAATACATAGTACTTGATAATAGGATACATTCAGTGCTGGTTTGGGTCTCTACCTGAGATTTGACAACAAATATAAAATACTGGATTTACTCTTTAAGTTTCTCAACCACAGACACTGGCAAGAGAACTAAGATGACACCACAAACACAAACATGCAAATTGTAATCCTCCGATTCAAACGTGAAACATAAGGAATTTCCCTCAGCCTTAAAGGATAATTGAGATTTATTTCAACCTAACATATTTCCCATAAGTATTGCGATTCTCATGCTATGATTTTCTTGAGTGCAAATTTGAGATTCAGGCAAATGTGAACTCACACAAAGCAACATATAAAAATAATATGTAATATTATGCAGTAACATTTGGTCAGTTGATAGTTTTGTTAAATGCACATTGGATGTTTTACGAGTCCTTGCTTCCTTGCATTTTTACAACAAAGGCGGTGAATGCAAAATCTCTATGACCCATAGAGACCGAATAGCTACATTTGTGGAAAAACAGAAATGAACACTGAAATGTGCCTGTCCTTTAATATGGATTTGTTTGACTTTTTAAGTTTTTATTATTTTCTCTTGTCTTTTATCAGGCCAGAATTAGTAGTGAAGAAACTTCGATATTATGCTCGATATATAGTTGTCTGTTTACTGCTGAACAAGATGGACCTAGTCAAAGTTTTGGTGAAGGTATGAAACACTTTTATTAATGCACCTTAGCATGACTTTTCTCAAACACTTTTGATACTGTATAGTACAGTCATATCATAGACCGTATAAAGTCATGGACACCGTGACACCTGCCCCAAGTGAAGCCTCCGTGAGTCGATCGCCTCCCTGGTGGCTGGCTGCAGTATGGGTAATAAACCCCGTCTCCTCCATGTTAGCTCAATGGACATGAGCCAAAAAAACTTACAGTACAAATCAAATACAATAGATATTATCACACTAATGTATGCAGAATCTGGCTGTAAAATGTACAGTAGCCAGAATGTACAGTTCATGTCCTCGTCCTAATATGGAGACCTACTTATATTTTATAGGCTAATTCAATAGTGATTATTCGATTCAGAGGAAGGACCATAGGAAGAAAGTCTCACATCAGTCAGATCATGTACTCATGGCAGATAAAAAAAAAAATCTGATTTACCATGTCCTGCTCTACATGTCTGACTGATGGAAGCACAGCCACCTGTGACCACTGGTAAAGATCACTTCACCGTTGTCCTTTTACACAGTACATGATGGTCCTCGTGATGGAAGAAAACTATTAAGCATTAAAAAGACTCAGTTAATATGGCCATAGTCTGCACAGCTGCTTCAAGCCCTATTCACAGTCCTTCTCTCATATAGAGCACTCCAACCAAATAGACTGAAATCTGTGATTATCACCTCTTTGGTCAGAACATGCCCTCTGTGAGGAAATATGCTCATTTAACAGATGGTCACAGAGACTATGATCATGCTGTGCTCTGGAGCACAGGATTTACTCTAGTGTCTCTAGTCACTCTCTCCTCTCTAGTCTGAGAGAAGCCACAAAATGGTGGAAAGCTCTTATAATCTCCCAGCTTCACCACCACGAGATGACTCCAATAGCCTATAACAGTACCTAACTGAGCCAGAGTGGATCCGAAAAGACTGTTCTGCCAACTGACAGAGCAAAAGAGAGAAAGAATCCAGCATAGACTGTGTCCTTTTGTAGTGTTGTCATACATTTTTACAAAGACAGTTGGATAAATGACAAAAGCTGTCATAACCTAACGATCTGGACCTGGCATAAACTCACGGATTGATGTGGGCCGTTCTGTTTTGCTTGTCCACTGTGTCGGTATCTGTGTAGAGGAAGGGGGGCTGCTCTCCTCTCAAACACACATAGGCGACATGAAGGATCACTTCACAGTGCAACAATCGGCCAGTAACAGAGACTGTATGAGCAGTTTATCAAACAGCTGTTGAACAAGCAGAACACAAGCTGAAAATTTGTAGATGTAAAAAGTAATTTACCTCTGTCGCCCAAATAAGTTAATTCATCTCACACCAGAAAGTTGGGACAGACTTTGCCACTGTCACAGCCTAACAAACCCATGTCTGGTAGCTTGTAAATACTGTAAATTACACTGCCAAATGTATATTGTGTGCAATATGAACCTATATCGTGTCGCCAGCAACGTTTCATTCCATTACAGGCATCCACATTCAAATGCATAGCAAACTATCTGAAAATACAAGCAGTTTTTCAGTAAAACTAAAAACAACCTGCCTTTATTCCGTGTTCATCTTTAATGTCACAATAAATAAACATATCTAGAGCCATATTTGTCTAAAATCCTGTAATATTTCTTTATCGTTTTTTTTTGGCTTCTGATGTTTTCTTTCCTGGTTCAGTAATAGCTTCAACTTGTAAACAAATGCACATGTTGGCTACCACAATTAGTATTTATGACAGTTGAGTACAACTCAGTTACACTCAGCTACTGTAGGGGGAGGCAGACTGCCAAGTTACATATTGTTGCTTTAATTTGTAATGTTGCTTACAAGAAACGTCATCTATAACCATAATTATTAACATGTTGTACACTATACACAACAATACTCAGCCGTCCCTGGTAGGCTAGTGGTTATAGCACAGTTCTCTCGCTGCTGCGGCCCGGGTTCGAGTCAGGGTTGCATCAGGAAGGGCATCCGGCATAAACACGTGCCAAATGTCTACATGCGAGTCGTCAGTGTGACGATTCACTGTGGCGACCCCTAAACGGGAAAAGCCGGAAGTGTCTTTCCTTTACACTATACACAACAGTTTTAAGTCTGAATCATGTTATAAATGTGCAGGATGAGAAAAAGAACATCATCACTCAGTTAATCTGCCATTGTTGATTTGAAAGCAACAATAATACCAGTATGCTATGCATGTCCGACGTGCATTATATGCATTGTTATGTGTCACACTGGACATCATGTTAAACGTCATACCTCTAACACTGGGATGCCAGTATGTGTGTCAAAAGAACACAAGGGTGTTATTATGCTGGCTTTTTTTTTTCGTTTTAGTTCAGTGTAAATAGGCAGAGCTGCAGAAACGATGGTCCAGCGTAATGCCAATACAGAAGAATCTATCTACCAAAACTTTGGTCATAGCTTCTACTTTCTTAATTCAGAATACTGGGGCAAGTTTGTCTGCCTCATGAAATTTGTATGAGGCATTATTTTATAAATCAAGCACAAGTCAAACTTTTGCAGTAGTGTGAAAACATTTGTATTAGTTAATATGACTAACTACACCTGGAACCCTCTGCCTGTTTGCTACCTGCAGGAGTTATCTGAGGAAATTGAAGATTACACACAGAGATTCAACACAGAGGACCAATTGGAATGGAACCTGGTTCTACAGGAAGTGGCAGCTTTTGTGGAGGTAACAATCCCTTGAAATGTAACTTATGTCAGTGTTTAAACTGTTTCATTATGCAGCATGCATGATACAGATTGTTGTCTTTCTCAGCAAACTCTAGTTCAGTGTTCTTTCTCTCCATTTGTTTGTGTCAAACAGGCGGATCCGGTGGTAGTTCTGAATGACAGCAATTCTGTCATCGTCACCAGCAATCGTCTGCAGGAAGGAAGCGTGCCTCCACTGGAACAAGGCATGGTGGTGGGGCAGCTCGTCCTTGCAGATGCACTAATCATCGGCAACTATAACAACCAGGTTTTAACCCACTAATTCTAATTCACAGTTCATAACACTTCACACACATCAACGCAGTCGCTGACCAGTCACAAGAACAGCCGTGTGATGTTGGCTGTCAGCCAGACAATGTAAAGGTCTGTTGTTGATGATGTTTCGTCTTTTGTTGCCTTGAATAATCGTTTCACTACCATGCTTTAGGGATGGGACATTATATTGAAATTCAATACATTGCAATATAAAAACATCACAATATGTAAAATTTTGACTAGCGATATACAATATATTGTGTGCGCTACATACACTAGCGACTTCATATTCTTTGTAAGTAAGACAGCCTACCAGAACACTAGTCGCTATATCTGGTTGTTCTTTACGTAATCAAACCAGTGCTAGAAGAGGGGAAAAAGAGGAACAAAGTACAGGTATTCCATAGCTAGTCATACATTGTTGTCATTGACTTTTTAATTGTATTGTGACTGAATTGAACTGTACACACCATATTGTGCATTGAATCATATCGGGAAAAGGTCATATCGTCCCATCCTTACCGTAGTGATGAAGTACTGTGTATCAGCTGTGTAAAACCTTTTTATTAATGTGCATGTCCTTACAGATTCATGGTGCATGCCATGTACCTCCCGCTTCACTAAGTGTTAAATCCTCTCCTAGACTGTTCCAACCACAATCAGTACAGCAACAGTCATTGCAGAACAAAGAAACAGCAATATAATATACAGTATAATATGTAGTTTATTGCCATTTTCACAGAGAGCCAGAGTATACTGCTTCCTAAAATTTGTCAGTAGAATAACATCTGAAGGTATAAGGAGGTAGCTGCCTGTAACTGCAGGTTGTTATTATTTGGGAGGATTTGGGGTCTTGTCCTGAATTAATGACCTTTAAGAGGGAGGTCTGCAGGGAACTCTGTTCACAGGTTCATGGTAGTAAATTACTGAGTGAATATCTTTAGCAAAAAACCTCAAGCAGTGTTTGAACCTTTAATATGTTTCAAATATGCCACCTTAGTGTGGCCAGTTAAGCTCTGTTCCTATGTTCAGGGGTTAGCATATCGTGGCCTTCAAATATTGGCCTCATGTAAGAACCAGTCAGACAAACAGATTGGTTATTACGTTCCTTCTTAAGGACAAGCGATTTGACATCAACTAAAACAAAATACTAAAAATACAACTGGTAAAATTAATATACTATTCATCAAATTAGTGTGATAGACTACATCATCTGCTACAAACAACATCAGACATACGTATGCATATTGCTAAAATGGAAACCTCTTTATTTGAAATTGTATCACTGCAATGCCACCGAAAACCATGGGCTCTGTGGGCTCTATATTCCATATATATTAGTTATGGAACCAGTTATTATTGCTGTGCTACCTGACTGCTACAACTGTCTCCAGCTGTCGTGACCACATATTATGTAGTTGCAGATACGGGGTAGGAGGGTCAAAGAGGAGGGGATACTGCTTGAGTTAGTTTGACTCTTACTTCGCTCTTAATGGTAGAAAATACAGAGAGAAGTTAGTTAATGCAGCTTTAAGATCTGCTTTGTGAAGTTTTTACTTTTGGCTAACCTCTGAGACTTGACCATAACTGGAGCTGGACAGGAAGCCTTTTGTAGAAATGTGTGGCCATTGATGATGTTAATTCAGGTGGAATTCATCAGTGTGAAACAAGCAATATATAATAAGATTTTCTGGTTAAGTAAATCTGATTGAATACTTGCGTGAGTGAACCTCACAAAAAAGGTTAGATGTTGGGGTTGAGGATACTAAAGTTATCTTATTTGATGTTATCTCTTCTCAGTCTGACACACATCTACATTTTCCTCTAGACATGACGGCAAAACTAACACAACACTATGGGGAAGGAACCTTCTTCACCTTCCAGAGTAGAAGTGGCTACTAGTAGTTGCAGTGTCCTCTGCTGGCTGTAATACCTGACTGACCAAATGGTTGGAGACAGTCAGAGAGCCCTGTTGTGTGTATGGATGTCCTTTAGAATAAAGAGTACTAAAAATGTCTGACCTTTATCTTAATAGTAAAACCACAGTGCCTAAAATAATAATATTTGTTAGTTGATGTCAGTGGTTCTTTTCCCTATTTTCTTTTTTTTTTAGGTAAAGTTCAGTGAATTAACCATCGATATGTTCCGTATACTTCAAGCTTTGGAAAGGGAACCTGTAAACCTGGCTACACAGACCTCCAAACAAGGAACACTGGTGAGTGTCATGTCCATCATGTCTGAAGGTGGTGTACCTGTGGTCTATTGTTTTTGCTGAACCCTCATTGGGTTTTTACAGCATAATCAATCAATCAAATTCTTCCTTTGCTGTCCACAGTGAATGCCAAACAATATAGTCTAAATATAAAATAAAAATTGATAAATAATAATACAAAATAAAGGCACTTTAAAAACAGCAAGTGAAAAATATAACAAAAATATAACAAGAATATATGCTACAATCAGCTGTATGTGCAACAGTCAAGCAATGGATGTGAAATTATGCATGTGCACACTGAGAATGTAAACGGTACAGGTGGCATTACATGAAGTAATTCCTGATTATAAACTCCTGTCAGCTGTTTAGGAGTCTGATGGCAGTGGGAAAGAAAGAGTTTTTCAGTCTAGAAGTCCTGCATTTCACACTTCTGTACCTCCAGCCTGAGGGTAGGGGTGTGAACAGTCCATGCTGGGGATGGGTGGGACAAACCACAAGTTTCTATGATGCATGCTTCTCCATTTTCTTTCTTTCTTTTTTATTTGGCTTGGATGAAATGAAAAAGTTGTTTTGGTATCTTAAACTTCTCTGTAAGTCACCTTGTATTTTTTTTTATGTTACCATGTTTTTTGTTTTTTTATGTTTTGTTTTTGTTTATTTCTCTATAATCTTAGCCTTGTATTTAATGCTTTAATTGAGAGCTGAGTGAGATACTGTATGTCACTCCTTCATACCTCCGGTATTATGCCTCAGTGGTGATGATGAACCTATGAACTCACCATCACATCCTAGAAGATTTGGATACCCTGTCATACATAAGAAGTAAACCTGGACTGTAGTATAAACAGTAATGAAGCTAAAATCTTTCTCCACAGGAGCCCAGTGAGAAGCCAGCTAAACGAGAAAACCCTCACAAGTATTTGCTGTACAAGCCAACATTCAGCCAGCTTTTTACTTTCTTGTCTGCCTCTTTTAAGGTCAGTGTTCCCTTGAATCTTAGCTATTTTGAGTTTAAGGGCCCATGGCATGCTTTTCCTTGTTTTCTGACTTATCTGCATTGTGACAGTTGTAAAATATCACCTTAGACATCACCTAAAGCTCTAAACATTAGGTGTACGTATGTTTTAGTACTTATATACAGAAGTAACTTTGTTTATACACGTCTCGCAAACTCTATTTGTGGTTTTACCACTGGTTGGATACACTGAACATATACTGTACATGCCCACTGGTTGGATACACTGAACATATACATGTATTTTATGTATAGCCAGTAATTCCCTCATTGTGTACTATTTGTCAGAGATTTGGACGTAGTTTCCCCTTCTCTAGGGTGTTTCTATTGGCTCCTCTGTGCACTTTTTGTACACCAAGGGCTTCCAATGCACAAGTGAACACTTGCCCAGTGCAGGCATCAGCGTGAGCCTTGCTCAAGGTGCACATGAGCCAGTGCATCACACGCTACACTTTTGGTCTGTGCCACTGTGTGCATGACATGAACTGCTGTGCCTCTAAATCTGATTGGCACAAAGTTAGAAATCTCAGTGATCGGTCAGTCTCTGGTCACAGCAGATCACGCTGAAAACCGGACATTTCTGATCTCCACCGATCGATTAGTGCACCTCTATCATATTGGCCCCAAACAGAAGACAGTGGTTAAAGGTATATGTAGCACTTGTACAGAAATTGCATTACTTTTCTATATTGTCTCTTTTTTTTTCTTCAATAACTCTATTTTCCAGGAATTACCTGCCAACAGTGCTCTGCTTGTCTACCTGTCAGCGACTGGAATCTTCCCTACTGGGCATTCAGATTATGAAGGTAAAATGCCATTTACTAGACTCTATGTTTGTGTTCCTATGAAGTTTTCAAATATTAGGGTTTTAAATACATTCTAATTAAAATTAAGCTTAAAAAATACAACCCCAAATCAGAAAAAGTTGGGATGGTATGTAAAACAAAATTAAAACTGAAAATAGTGATGTGTGCATCATCTGTTTTACATTGAAAACAATATAGCAGCACATTATTTGATGTGCTACCTCATCAATTTTATTCTTTGTTCAAAATAAACCCTCAGTTCAACTATGATGCTGCAACACATTCCAACAAAAGTTGGGTCGGTTACATTTCAGGATTGCTGAGAAATGTATAATCTGTGTGACACAGTCTGCTATGTCTTTTCAAGTTAGCACAATTAAGCTTTTATTTTTGAACATTTCCCATAGGACCATACGATTTTGGAGGAGTTCTCACAAACACAAATCGAGATGTGGTGAATGGAGAGACGGTGCAGAAGAGGAATCAGGCACAGAAAGAAATGCACTGGTGAGAAACTAACTACAGAGATTATTTATCTGTCTGCATGATATTTTTGATGTCATCACATATTTAATTATTTAGGAAATGTTTTGCATATGTCAGATAAATTAGTGGAAGCTCATGGGTTGTTGAAGCTTGGAGAGTGTACCCCACACTTCCCCATGTGTTCAGTTAGTTGGCAGTGACTAGACTTATCCCGAGAGAACCAGTGTTTTGCTTGGTATGACTAATGACTAATAAGATCTCTCTGACTCAGTCTGACATCTGACTGCCACCCGCTCTCTGTGGTAATAACAAGCTTAGCAGCTCTAACCATGTGTACACAACAGTGACCTGAGAAACAACAGACTAAAAAGCCATCCAGCCTCAGCAGTGCAGACGCTCACCATGTTTACTTGTTTACAATGTTGCAGCCTTCATCCAGGGGACTTATTCCCTTTCACCCGGAAGCCACTTTTTGTCATTGTGGATTCTGCAAACAGCACAGCCTACAAGGTATGTAAATAGGTTAAGTTACCTGGAAAGAAATATCTATAGTCCAGCTCATGAGCATCTACACATGCTCTTCAGTCTGTGCTTCAGCCTAATTTGAAATAAGATAATGAATACTTTACATTCACTGGCCACTTTATTAGGTACACCTGTACAGTTGTATCCAATTCAGTATGAATTAACACCTGTGTTTATGAAGCTCAAAAGGTTTAAGTTTTGGTGAATTTGTTATATATATATATGTACAAATGTTTATACATTATAGTCAGAGGTGTTCCTAATATTCTGACCCTCTCATTGAATTTATACATTTATGACACTTTCACCAAAAACTGGACCTTTTGAGCTTTTTAAACAGATGTTAAGGCTGAAGTGTTGGATTGAATTGCATACAATTGTACAGGCATGCCTAATAAAGTTCTTGGAGAGTGTATTGCAATGCCAGGTCTCAGCTTTAATTTGAGTATGTTTACATCGATCTAAATGGGTGGCTACAGCTTGCAGGCCAAATAACGTTGTGTAGGAGGAGGTTCTGCCTTAAATAATTGACATTGTATCCAAAGACTGCAGGTATGAGTTGCCTTTGAGAGCCACCACTGTAACCAAGATACTTAACTTTAACTTTATTGTCATTGTACATTGTACAACGAAATTAAAAACGCAATCCTTCAATAATAAAAAACAATCATAAACAATAAAACCCAACAAATTTACACACTCGCATCCATACACATCTGACTATTGCACAGTTCCCATAAAATCCCATCAATCATTCAAATTTTAAGGTTTTAGCAGCATTTAAAGCAACAATAGCTCTCGGATAAAAACTGTTTCTTAATCTGTGTGTCCTTGCTATAATTGTTCTGTATCTTCTCCCCGAAGGCAGCAGTTCAAACAGACAGTGTTCAGGGTGTGATAGGTCCTGCAGAATGTTTTGTGCTTTTTTCAAGCAACAGGAACTGTACAGTTCTTCCAGAGATGGTAGGGGGCAACCGATAATCTTCTGGGCTCTGGTAATAACCCTCTGGAGCGCTCTCCTGTCTGCAGCTGTGCAACTGGCGAACCAGGCACAGACACAGTATGTTAAAATGCTCTCTATTGAGCAGTGATAGAAGGACACCAGCAGTTTCTCATTCAGATTGTTTTTCTTCAAAAGACTGAGAAAATACAATCTCTGCTGGGCCTTCTTCACCAAAGCAGTGGTATTTGCGCCCCAAGTCAGGTGCTGCTCAAAGGTAACACCCAAGAACCTAATACACAACTTGTATGAAGACAAGAAAGCTAAAGCTGAGGAGGCGTTGGGACCGACAAACATGGATGGCTCACCAGAGACTACTGGGCATCTCTCAGTAATTGCAGTTACCTCGGGGCCCTCCCTGCATATCATATTATTGTATTACTATTACTGATGCATCATTGTATAGATCACATTTAATGTTGCAGCTGCTAAAGGGGGAGCTAGTTTCAGTGCACTTATATGCATTTAATTTGAAGTATTGCTGGGTAGCTTGTGAATTTTCCACCACAGATCAGTGAGGTCTTACAATTATACTGGATATTTTGGATTAATCTGGTTCTGAAAAGTAACTAGTAACTAAAGTTATAAAATAAATGTAGTGGAGAAAAAAAGTACAACATTTGCTTCTAAAATGTAGCGAAGTCAAAGTATGAAGCATCAAGAATGAAAATACGGTACAGATACCTCGAAACTCTACTTAAGTGCAGTACTTAATAAATGTATTAGTTACTTTGCACCACGGTTTAGAGCAGATTTTTTAAAAATGTGATTAATTGCAAGTTAACTATGGACTATAGCATAGTCCATTCGATTGACAGCACTAATTATTTTATTTCAAATTAAATACCCTGATGCAGGGAGCCTGAAGAACAGTACATCTCTATCTGTCCAGATGCTTATGGTGAGGTCTGGATATGACATGATTACAGTGTCAGTGCATATTCTTAATAATTAACATGTCTTTTTTTTGTCCTAATAGAATTTCACAAATCTATTTGGCCAGCCTCTGGTGTGCCTACTATCACCTACAGTATATCCCAAAAGTGTACAGGGTGAGTTTTCATTAAAGGGGTATGTTTTTTATTTTTCTTCTTGTCAGCAAATTTCATGAAAAGACCAAAACCAACAATGTGTTTGTTTGTCTCTCCAGACAAGAAAACATGTAAGCAAAATTCTAATATTTGTCTTTTGCGTGTGTAAATAGAAATTTCTGTTTTCAGATTATGTCAACTGTAGAGATATAATACAGTTTTTAACACTCTACTATACTTGAAATAATATTAAGATAACTCAATAAAGAAAGTTTAAAAGTTGATCATTTTATATAGATTTAAAGAGACTTACATCATAGTAGCAAGCGATAATGCAAAATCAAAAATCATCAGCAACTAAATTGTTTGATTCACTTACAAGTCTACAAATCAACAAAAGCTAATTTTAATCATTAACTTAAACTCCTTACTTTAAAATGATCATAGTTGAGTTCTCACATTACTGAATAAAAGTCAAAGAATCTCTTACTGATCACCAGTCATTAGTTGGTTTGAGTTGGTGGTTGTTGGCTTTTGTTGAAAATCATAATTCCAATGCTGGTTCTCTCTAGGTAGGGACTCATGCATTTCTTCAACAGTTCAGGGATCCCTCATTGCATCCTGCTCTTGGTAGGGGCTCTATATTTTCTTTCCATGCCTTCCTCCCAGCCTGGCCTGCAGGAGAGAAGCTACTGTCAGTGTGTCTTCCCATCCTGCTTCAGTAAAACATTCTTCTAATCATCTTTTGTGCTGTGGTTTTTAAAGGGTTTCTGTGAGTTATGCTGCCTTCACACTCCTCCTCTGGTATTCAAACAGTTGTTGGTTAGAGCCGCTGTTATCTTCTGTCAACATCCAGGGTGATGCATGTAACTACCACCCTCCACCACCTGTCCACCATAAAGACTTAGCATTTTCTGCTGTTATCTTTCTTACACGTATTCAATTACAGACACAGAAATCATATTATCTGATTAAAATAACATCTAATTAAAATACAAGAATCTTGTATTCATTTACACAAAACTGTCAATACATTTGATCACTATATTATGAAATCATTGTTTAAATCTCCTCCTTTCCAGTAAACTTTCTTTTATTTTTTTCTTTCTTCTTGCAGACACTCAGACATCCCTGCCTGCATTTCTTTTGTTGGGATCTGTCCAACTTCTGCTTTTTTAATGGCAGCAGCACACATGCAATAGTACATCACATTGGTAAATACAAATAACAAAGCATACATTAGGCTCATACTGCTGTCCAGTTCTCTGCTCTTTGACAGCCCCTCCTTGGCTTCAGGGATAGCTAAGATTCTCCTTTGCAGCAGGATAGACAAATTTCTGCTCATTTCCCCACATTCTGGTTGCAGCACACACACACCTCTCATCCACCAGGGCTTCCCAGGAGACAGGTTCCAAATCCTAGTTCCTTTTAGCCAGTTCTAGTTTCTGCAGGGCCTTCCTCACCCAAATCTGTTGGACTCTTCTTCTTAGGATAATCACACTTTGGATGCTGGCTGCTCGTATCCATGGCAGCGAACTGTACAACTTTGTTGTCATTGTTCTTAACTTCTAGTTCCTGCTGCACCACTCCACATCTTCAGTACCTCTTGTACTTGTTTCTTTGGGATCCAAAGCTGCATGCTGTTCCAGCATGACCCCTGAACTCGTGGACTGCTTTCACCACTTTAGCCACACAATCTCTAGGGATCTCCTTTCCTTTTGGAGTATCCCTCCACTCTCTGGAGGTGGCCAATAATGCCCTATGTGCCAGAATGTATTGGTTCACGCCAGCCAAATAGATTTACTGCTTTGCAGAGGTATACCTCTGCCAGCCAGCCAAAATTCATGGGAATGAATAAGTATTCAGTGACCTTTGACCACCTAAATGTAGTCCATTCACCATTGAATCAAAGAGGATATGTGTGCCAGATTTGAGCAAACTGCCTCAAGACATTTTAGAGCTATCACAAGATTGGGATGGCTGTCATCCAGTTTACTGATGTGTTTTAGTTTTGGGACAACAATGAAGCGCTGTGTCACAGAGAAGTAGGTTATGTACATAATAATTACTTGTTAATAAGGTACTGTCATTGTTGGTCTGGTCTTATCATGGGGGTTGTTGACAACGAGAACAATACAGAATGTCACCAGCCATATGCTTTAAGTTAATAAAAGGTTGCAGTTGTTTATTAGCTGGCAGTTTTGTAGAATATTATTTAAGTAATTCTGAATTAATATGATAATTGAAGTGTGATTTAGAAAATCATTCCTTATCTCTTAGATGTTGTTATAATGTTATAAAGAATTCTCTCTTTTGGTCAAATGTCCTATATTTTTGTATTTCCTGATGTTCTTGTTTTTACCTCTTACCCATGTTTCTGCTTACCTTACAGATCAGTCCCAGCGTGGGAGTCTCTTCACTCTGTTCCTCTACAGCCCACTCTTGGCTTTCTCCTCTGTCTGTGGTTTAAGTAGCCTCCGACAAGGACTGTGGGAGAGGGCTCAGGAATTTCTTCGCAAAGTCTACCGGGACATTGGGCAGATGATAACTCGATCACGGACCATAGGTAGCATACCTCTCTTAGATTTTTTTTTTTCCTGTTGGTATGTTATGAAGATTAGGGTTGCATCAGGGAATAACTTAAACAATTAATCCACAGATCAACTGAAAAATCTTACTTCTATTACTTATACTTATTTCAGCACTACTATCTTTTATTTTTGTCTACACAGATCAAGCCTTTTTGCAGTTTTTTGGTGATGAGTTCCTTCGCCTGCTGCTGATCCGCTTTGTGTTCTGTTCTGCTGCACTGCGACTGCATAAACTGTTTCGGGTAAGTCACTGCTCCTGTACTTATGCCTGTTTAGCTGAATGCCAATAATTCATCCTATGGTGAGAGAAGAGTCTGTCCCACTACTCAGGCTTGTGGTCTTGAACACTTAAGCTACGCACCATCAGCCACATAGGAAAGTGTGTCCAACTTGTGTGAAAAAATACTGTCACACAATACACTTGATGCACTTGTCAGCTTAGTCATCCTACAGGTCATTACATCTACTGCACTACACCAGCTAGTAATATGTTTATACATAACGTCTCTTCTTGTTTTGTAAAAGCTTCATTTACCTGTAAACACTGAAGGATTTACGCACCTGAAAGTGTTTTAGGGAAACACACGGTTTTAGTCTGTATGGAGGGTAAAACAGAGGGAGGAAGATGCATTTACAGATTTAACCAGCTTAGGGTGGATGGGGACATGTCTCTCAGGTCGTTTAGTAGAGATCTGTGTCCATAGTGAAACACTGAACAATTCCTGACAACTAGTAATGGTGGAAAATGTTTTCTCTTGTTAATAGTAATCATTGAAAGCGTGTTTATTGTGATGTTTTTTGGGGTAAAGAGGTGTTTGATGTTGTGCTTGCAGGAGTCCCGGAGCTTCCCAGAGTCGTACCCGGAGCTCCCCAAACAGGAGACAGTGGAGAGCAGCCTTCTACAAAAGCATATTTTGGAGCTGGCAGCCATGCTGGATGTGCAGAGCCTATTTTGGGATGATTCACTAGAAGCCTACTAACATCTTTGCAAAGGGCAAACTGGCACGTGTACATACAGACTCAACTGCCAGAGCCCTCCCAGTTGTCTTACTTTTTTAAAGGTAATGATTCAGCACATACAAGTTCGTGTCTTGCATCTAACTGTTACCTGTGTAAACAAATGTAGAGCAATGTTCAAATGTTCACATACTGTAGTTACACCAGTTTAATATAGTGTAAATTCCCCCATTTGCCTGCCTCGTAAATATAAGCATCATGTCAGACATAAGAGTAAACAAATAGATGAGAGGCTGAAAAAAACCTTCTCAACTCACCATTCCTCCATCCAGATGCAAGATTTAAAAGTGTAGTCTGTGACTTAATTCCTCATGTCAGATAATTGTAAAGTCGTTGGCAGCCTCGATTGTGTGTGTATTTTAAGTAATATTTATTACTGTTTAAAGGATCGAGAATGGAAAAATCCTGGGCATCTTCCAGGTGTGACTTTATCTAGTTGTTTGAAGGCAAAGCAAACTGATGCTGAGAGCGAACATGGTGCTAAACAAAGGTTTTCACTGCATCAGGAAATATTAAAAACAACAGGAACACTATTTGTACACTAAGTTGGAATTTTAAAAACATTCACCAAAAATAGCTGGTCTGGATTTTTGTATTTGCCAAACAGTGCTTGCTGTGTAACAGTTTCTCTTGTAATAGGCTGACGTGTGAGCGGTTCTGTTCTGTTTGTTGGTGCAGGACATTGTTAGTTGTAAAGATATCACATGACTTCATGGCATAAAATCAGCAGGTCATCTAATACCTTTATTCATCCATTGTTCCAGCCTTATGCGTTTTGAAAGCCAGTTATTTGTTTTTCGTATCACTGCATGCAAAAACAAAGAAATATATCCATTTAGTTGATTTATCCACAAAGAACAGCCTCCACGACTAAGGATATCAAGTGGGATATAGGTGTTAAAATGGGATAGTCCTGGGAATACATGGAATGTTGCATGGGCCTGTACATTTATAACGGAGTCATCAAATGAAGACAATCTAGTTAGAGATAGCAGAGGGCACGGCCTAGTGAAAAGGTGACATGGTATGCACTGCATCATTTTTTCTGTGAAATCATGCACTTCAACATTTGGCTTGCTTCTTTATGAAATACAGGTAACGCCAGTCATTTTTATGTTCAGACACTAATCCACTGCTTCCAGCTCATAGATGCTCCCATCTCTCTTAGTTAGTGGAACCATAAAAAAGAACAAGCACCAACCACCATGCTAACTTTAACTGTAGAGACCACCTTGAGAGGTTTGTGGATCTTGAAAGAGGTTCAAACCCTGACTACTCAGTGCATGAGGTGGGTGTGAATATTCAGATTTCCGGGTTCAGATGTTCTGAGGCTGTTTAACCATTGCAGAGACAATCCACTGCCATTCTAGCCAGTGTTTGTGTGTCCACCAGGTCCATGTCTAGCAGGTTTCATTGCCACTCCATTGTCTTTATGCACCTTGTATCTCTGAAGCCTGACATCCAGTTGTGAATGTGAAGCCCATTTCTGAAAAAGTTGGGATGATGAATTGTAAACAAAAGGTCAATGAAATGCTTTGAAAACCCCTTTACCCCATATTCATTGGGTAACAGAACAAAGAAAAGGTTTCTAATGTTCAGATTAATATATTTTATACATTTTTCTTTATGTAAGTTTATTCTGAATTTGAGGCCAGCAACATGTTCCAAAAAAGTTGGGACAGGGCAACAAAAGACTGGAAAAGTTGTGTAATGCTTAGAAACTAACTGGTGGAAACCTCCTAAACTTATATTAATTGGCAGCAGGTCAGCATCCCAGATAAACCGTCAGAAGGATGGGGGTGATGTTCACCAATATTCAACAATTTCAGACTAATGTTTCTCAGGAACTCCTCTGTAAACCACTGTCAGTGAACACGTGAACTCGTCGTTATAACTCTACCATGCAAAGAAAGAACCATATGTAAACCAGACACGCCACCGTGTTCTCTGGGCTCATGTTCATTTAAGATTGACTGAGAGGAAGTGGAAACTGTCCTGTGGTCTGACAAGTCAGTATTTGGAATTCTTCTTGAAACCCATGGACATCACATCCTCCAGGCTAAAGAGGAGAGGGGCCATCCAGCTTGTTATCCTTGCATAAAGTTTAAAAGCAAGCATCCATGATGGCACGGGGGAGCATTAGTGTACTTGGCATGGGTAATATGCACATTTGTGCGGCACCTTTAACGTTCAACAATATGTACAGGTTTTGGAGCTTTTTCAGTGAAGGCCTTGCTTATTTTAGCAAGACAAGGTCAAAGTACATTCTGCATGTATTCCAACAGCATGGCGCTCTGTCAGGGTGCTAAACTGGCCTGCCTGCAGTCCAGATCGGTCACCCACTGAAAACATCTGGTGCATTATGAAGTGAGAAATGTGAAGGAGGCCTCAAACTGCTCAACAGCTGAAATCCTATCAATAGGAAAACATTTCTCTGACAAAACTAAAGCAGTCAGTGTCCTTTCTTCCCAAATGCTTGCAAAGTGTTGTTAAAAGAAGAGGCAATGCAATGAAAAAATGCTCCTGCCCCAACTTTTTTTGAAATGTTTTGCTGGCGTCAACTTTATAATGATCAGATTTTTTTTCCCAAAAAACAATTTAATGTCTCAGTGTCCGTATTTGATGTCTTTCTACTGTTTTCAATTAAATATAGGTTTTAAGTAATTTGCATATAACCATGTTCAGTTTTTACAACCCCAAATCAGAAAAAGTTGGGACGGTATATAAAATAAAACTGAAAATATCATCCAGCTTCGACTTGTGCCCTTTTCATACCGAAATTCCTTCAGACTCCTTGAATCTTTTATGTTCTGCACCGTAGAGGGTGACATATCCAAATCCTTCCTATCCTCCTTCCTTTGAGGAACATTGTTTTTTAACATTTCAATAATTTTCTCACACATATGTTGGCAAACTGGTGGTCCTCAGGCCGTCTTTGCTCCTAAAGGGCTCAGCCTTTCCTGGATGCCACTTTTGTACCACATCATGATGCAGTCATCTGTTGACATCACCTGTTTCACATGGAATCATCATTTCCATTGTTTTACCTCATTACTGGCCCTGAAATGCAGCTGACCCAACTTTATTTGAAACGTGTTGCAGGCGTCAGAATTGAAGTGAGTGTTTATTTTGACCAAAGAATAAAACTCATGAGGTCTCACATCAAATAATGTGCTGCTGTGTTGTATTCACTGTAATACAGGACACAGATGATTTACACATCAGTATTTTCAGTTTCAACTTTTTCTTATTTGGGGTTGTATTTACAATTTTCGGCGTCCCAACTTTTTGAACTTTATTTAAATGCCTGTAATTGTTCATGGCTGACTACTTGATTTTTAGTGATGCATTTTGTGTTTCTGACTTGTTTTAACACACCAAAAAAAGTGGTTTTGTGTTTGTAGTTAGTGAAAGAGAGAGAGGAAACAACAGGGAGGATGGCCGTTTCCTCCATTGAGCTTCCTACTGTCTGATCAGCCTAAATATCATCACACAACCGAACTTTTATGAAATTTGTTGTAGCTCATAAATTCATATAAACAAAAACCCAGGTTAATGACAGCAGCTGTGGTGCAAGATCAGCTGTACTGACTCTTAAAATGAGTGATAGAGAAGGTTTGAAGCATAGAAGCAGCATTGGTGGTGAGACTTTCTGTGTTTAACAAAGGAATTGCAGTATAAAGTAGTTCTGTACTGCTTCATCACTCAGTTATAGTGGTTGCTGCTGGAAAGCAAGAACTTTGGAGGTATTTGAAAAACAGTAGTTTGTGGGTAGTTAAATGTTCTACTGAGTGAGATCTCTGAGGAGTGAAGTGGGTCACAGGAAGCATCATACTGTCTAAACTAGATCAGGCAGCCACTTGAGGAACTCTGCTTGTGACTGAAACATAGGTTTGACGAGGCACTGTGTTCAATCCGCAGGCGGAGGCACGTTCCATGCTGAGTAAAGTGGTTGTGGGCTAAATCTGTGGTGTGCAAATAACACTGATACAGTTTAACGATATTATTTGGCTTCCAAAATCTAACAAACAATACATTTTGTTCTTAGCTTGTGCTTCACAGAGCATTTGAACACACTCAGGCTGATAAGGGCAAGAAAAGAAGGTTTCATGCAGGTAAATGCTGCTGAAGGTTTCTAACTACTAATTAATAGGTACCATTGTAAGTGGAGGGGCACAAAGACGGCAGTGTCTGTCTCCATCCATCACACTGACGCTGAGAAAGATTTGCTCAAATATTCACAGTGATTTTCAAGTCATTTATCTCCAAAGCCACTTAGCAAACATTACTAAGGCTGTCCATGGTCCAGTGCTATGCTTGGACCAAAATGTCAGTTTGCACAAGGTGTTTTATGTTCTAACTGTAAGGTTTCTAGAACATTTACTTGAGCATAAAAATAGATCTTAAGGTAGTCTAGATTTGTACAAGGATTATTACGTCATACGAAAAGGCCAAAATCAACAAAACCTGTCTGTATATACCCCGTATTTAGGACAATGTAATAGTGTGTGCGGGACTGAGTCAGAATAAACTACAGTGTGTGGTCATGGCAAAGAAGGAACATGTGTCAGGCTGTGGTACAAATACAATAGCTATCACCAGAAGACATTCTTTGATGGTTTTGGTCTTTTCATAACATTTGTATAGTAAGAAAAATATACTATCACCAGCCTTATTGATTAAAACTGGACTTTCTAGCCCAAGTTCAAAAAGGGGTCTTCTAGAAAAGCTAAAAGATCAATGGCCACTGACTGGGATTCAGGCTTTTAGGTTTTGTTTGGTCAGCTTCCTTTGTTCTGAATTACGTGTTGCTACTGGAGAGTTGTTTCTGGGACCAGCGGCAGGGATCAATTGTGCAGGCCACTAAAACCAACTGGCCCCACAAGGTTCAAATAATGCAGCGATTCAGGAAGTAGCCAAGCCCGCTGGTCGAAATCAAGATCTGTGACTAGACAGAATTGATAGGAAGAATACTAGTTTCAACGTTTATCATATTTATTGACATTGTGTTTGTGTATAAATAATGTAAAGCGATGTTTTGGGACAGATGTGTTGGTTCAGTATTTAGGAAGTCTATAAAGTGTGTAATGAATTATGAAGTTGAAATGAAGGAGGAGCAGAATGTTTATGAGGCCAATTTGTTCTTTGGCCATTTTTCTAAAGTTGTTACATTCCAGCTTTCCATGGACTTGAAGAGAGGCAGAGGAACTGCCACCGTTGTCTTCATTTTCCATTTGTCTGGGAAAGTGAGCCGTTTATACAGTTTTGTCTATTTTCATTGTAATATCGACTTCCACCTTCTCTTGTGTTAACAGTTATGACGATTAAGATGTTGTAGGCTTGCACTTTATGAAGTCTAATATTGTGATGATCTTGTTTGTTGTGCTTTAGGGAGAAAAGAAAAATCCTTCCATGTTCCTGTTCTTTATGCCAACCCTTCACACCGGTGAACCTGTTTTTTACAAAGAGAAAATGTTGTGTGAGACCGTGGTTTCAAACGTTTTACTATAAGAACTTTTCATCTGCGTCACTGTAACAGCTTCTGCCTGAAATGTGCCAAACGTGTTGGCTGTCTGCACAGTGTTGAACAGGCAGCAATAATGCGTTCATTACATGTGTGCAGGAATTAGAAATCCTAGTAGTAGTGCTCTAAAACACCGTCAGTAGAGATTGCACTGCAAATCGTTTTTACATTTCCAAAGGAGAAAAAAAAGTACATTTGCACATCAGTCAGGACAGAAAAAGAAGAAGTGAACTGTATTCATTTAAACTGTTAAATATTGCATGTTGACACTTTTGTATGTTAACTCTCCAAAACTCATGTTTATACTTCTAGAACATGTTACTGTATGGTGTGTTCCCTGAACTCAGAATCCATGAAAAGAGCAAATGTCATGGCCTTATGGCACAAATAAGTATTATGTAATGGAAAATAACCCCAAACAGTGAGGTGACACTGTGCCCTGATCAGGATGATAATTATAAAGAGAAACTAATAAGCAAAATAACTTCTAGTCTCTGTTAAGGCCGTTGGCTGCATTGATGTCTTCTGTGCTTAAATATACTGATTACAACCACTTCATTTATGTAGCAGCAGTGGGATCAGAAAACTGAATTAGCTTCTATTTCCTCACTGACTAACACTCCTACAAATGGTGTTATGCTTTGTATCAGTGTGCATGAATATTTATTTTTTATTCCATGTTTTCCATTTGACATAAAGCTACCTGGCAGCACGGTGCAATAGCATGAGTTGAGTGTGTATTTGAAGGGTACATCGCAGTATATTGTTACAGGGCCCCTGAAATCCTGGAAGTCGATTACTTCTTTTATTCACAAGCTCTTAGCACTCAGGCTTCTGTACACAGGATAACTATTAATTTGGGTGAACAATATACTATAGCTTGTACCAATGAGATAGTAACTTGTTGAAAACAACATAACTTGTGTGAACAAGAAAAGTTCTGCACCTTTTTGATAGTCTGTTAAGTGAGTCTTCTTGAATCATATGTTAGAATTGGTGGCTGATCTATTGGGTCATGCAGAGTTCATACTGCAGTGGACACTGTGACAAACCTAAGATAAAACCTCAACTTAAACATTAGGAGTTTCTCTCTCTGCTGCCATTGCCTTATATTTATAATAAAATAATTTACAAACTTCTGAGTGTTCAGAGATATTTTAAGTGACTCCTGTCTCATGACCTGAGGTCGCCTTGTCTCTCAATTAAAATCGTGTTGTTTTTGAGAATTTGGGGTATCAAACTTGACCCACTTTTGCATTTTTGGACCCATATTGGGTGTGTTGTCTTTTTCTTATTCCCATAAATAATTGTTCAAACCTAGATAAAAATAAATGATGTAAGTATTTTCAAGTTGTTTCAAGCAGCTACAGAGACGTTTGTTAGCAGAAAATGTTTCAGCTACTTAAAATTTAATCAGTAAGCATAAGATTGTTGTTGCAGTAGCATAGAATCAGCAGTAATTGTTAAGCATGTGGAAATATACCAGAGCACACTCAGGCGTGCTTGGTTAATACGGCTTTGAAGAACCAATGCCTTCTTTATCACTGTACGCTTCTGTCCGACATTCATACAAAGAAGATGCTTAGAAGCAGCACAGAAACCAACACTGAGCGGACAACAGCGAAAATAGCAACAGGGCAGGTTTGATGTCCAGTCACGGGGATGAGCTGGTGAGGCCAAACATGTGCTTGTCCTGTATAACCAGTATTAAAATCCACCAGAGCACATGAAACAAACTTGTTTTTAACATGAACTCACAAGCACAATGGCCACTACTTCACATTAGAGAGCTACATCTATGGAGAAGCATGTGAACCACACCATTAGGGAACACATCACAAATACCCGCTGACTGATCAGTCCTGTTTTCGCCCCCTGGTACGCAGGGATCATTTCTAGTGTAAAACTGTCCAAATGATGGGTGCAGCCCTTCTTAATAGCAACATCTGTGACTTTCTTGTTGTGATTTTCAGTTGGTGTCAAGCTGTCAAAATGTATTTTCAATATTTCCATAAAAAAAAAAATGCACTTATTATTTCTGTAGGCAGCATGATTGTTTAGAATAGAAACCGCCAAAGAGTGGTGTACTCTCACTTTCCTGTGTTACCAATGATTGACATCAAGTATTGTATCAAATGTTTTTTTTCTGTGTGTTGCCAAATGGAGCCAATAAAGGAAAAAAATTGCCTTTATGAAAGAACCACTAAGTTTGTTTATTTATTTATTGTGGGCAGCACGGTGGCATGGTGGTAAGCGCTGTTGCCTCACAGCGAGAAGGTTTCGGGTTCGTGACCTTTTTGTGCAGAGTTTGCCTGTTCTCCCTGTGGCTATGTTGGTTCTCTCCGGGTGCTCCGGCTTCCTCCCACAGTCCAAAGACATGCAGCTTAGGTTGACTGGGGTTTCTAAATTGTTTGTGTTTGTGTGTGTGTGTGTGTCAGCCCTGTGATGGACTGGCGACCTGTCCGGGGTGTACCTCGCTTCATATGACATAAGTTTTTATTGATTTTTATAGGATGCCAGATAGTTCAATAAGTGGGTTCATACAACATGATGTTTTATTTTGAAAGATCTAATAGTATGTTACTGTGTCTGCCTTGACACTGGTGGGGTTGTCATTAGTATGCAACATTGATGTGAAATAACCATTCACTGGCCCATCCACATTTTGCATCTTATCTGGAGTTGAGTCGTGATGGCAGCAGGTTAGGTTCAGGCAGTCCAGACATCGCTCTCCTCAGGAGATCCTGAGATGTTTGCAGGTCTGAGAAGATATACAATCTTACACTGTTTTTGGGGTCTTCTGTCACTTGGACATGTCTAAAACGTCCAATGAGAGCGGTCCATGAGTCATGCTCATCATATACACTAACCACCTCAACTGGCTCCTTTCAACAAGAAGGAGCAGTGACTCTGTTCCTTCTAAATGTATGAACTCCCTAACCCTGTCTCAAAGAGTGAGTCCAGTCACCCTGTGGAGGAAATTCATTCTGGCCATTTGTATCTAATTCTTTTTGGAGTGTTGAAATGTAGATCCACTGGTTTAACAAAAAAAAAACTTGTCTGGCAGAGAATCACGGTCTCAAAGGTGCTAACTCAGCCCCAGTGGCTGCTGAAAGGCTAATAAAGCCAGTAGGTGCACATCATGTGCACAAAGGAGAGAAGCAATTCTGAAGTCACCCAACTGGATACTCTCCTCCCATGTGCTGTGCCCTGAGACCCTGTCCATGAAAGTCACAAACAGAACTGATGACAAGAGACAACCTTAACAGACCCCAAAACAAACTGGAAGCGTGTTTGACTTCTTGCCAAGAATCTGGACACAGCTCTCGCTCTGGATATATTAGAACAAGATGGCTAACAGCAAGGTATGTCAACCAAGACACCCCAATCCAGATCTCCTTGAAAATCTGAGGACTGTAAACAAGGAATGTGTCAGCCAGTGCAGTGGTGTGCACATTTTGCAGTAAGTTCTAAATAAAAGTAATCAATAATTTCCCTCAAATAGATTAAACGTAATGAGCCTGATTTGAAAGTGTAAGTAGAAGGTATAGATACTTTGTTAAAATGTAGGAAGTAAGAAGTTGTCTGAAAAATAAAAACTCAAGGAGAGTACAGATACCTGAAAAAGCTACTTAAGTACGGCAACAAAGTATCTAAAAGTCAGTGTGTGTGGTTGTTTGTCTACATGTTTTCCCTGTGATAAACTTATTGACCTGTCCAGGGTGAACCCCGCCTCTCGCCCAATGTCAGCTGGGACTGACTCCAGCCCCGCCGCGACCCTGTTTAGGAATAAGCGGTATAGATAATGGATGGATGCCACATGAGAGTTTATGGTTCTTCACTGCTCTCTTGTGGCCATGTTCCTGTACTACAGCTGACCAGGACGCCTCTACAGTATAAGATCTACACATCGTGTTCAAATAGGCTAGGTATTCCCAAACAAAGTCGATATCATTAGCAGTCTTACATCAGCGCTCTCGTGATTCCCGTTCAGTTCGCTTTATATGACGATATGCTTATAAAACCGTGGAATTAAATCTTTACACGAATCTTGGTTACTATCACAGTCTGTTGACTTTAGTGTTGCTAAGGTACGCCTAAATGGCGACTCTGGCCCAATCACTATTTGCAAAAGATGTCACGTGACTTAAATTTACCAACCAGAGAAAAGTTAACGTCACAACCTGTTGAGGTTTGCTTCCTCATTGACAGTTCTTGTATGTTAAATTTGCTGGTAATATAAGCTTATTTCGCAAAATAACAAACACGCTGGTTTGTTGTTATTGAAATACATTTCAAAAGTCGTGATGAGTATATTTTGGTTTCTCATATGGTAAGAGGGAAAATGTATTAGTTAAATGTACACAAACTAGAAATATTGCAGTCAATGTTAGCTAGTAAGCTAAGGGTAGTATCAGCCTCAGCTGTATTTCTTGGTAAGATACGCTGCTTTTTGATTGTAATGATCATTTGAAAAATACTGCCGAATTTCTACATAAAACATTGTTATTGCATGGGTTATACGTTGGAATTTATATCTCTGTTCATGTAGATTTTAGCAACGCAATTTAACTTAATGTTGTTGTGAATTGGGCAAGCTAGCTTTCCCGTGGTTTTCTTATAGTAATGAATATTTTCCACAATATTCTGTTCCAAAGAAAGCTTAAAGGTAACGTAATACAAATCCACTTTAAATGTATACTTTTTTATTATTATAATATTGCTGGTTTTCCCTATAATAGTCAACTTATCTTTGTCCCTTTTTGACTTTGTAGCAATTACACAACTATCTCACAAACATACACCCAGTAATTGATGTAAATATGTTGTACTACAGAAATGTCAGCCTCCACAGAGCTTAACACTAATTGCTTTTGGGAAGTTAGTTAATTACATTGACTGGAGATACTCATCACACAGAGGAAAACAATGAAAACCCGGTCAGGTTCACCTCCAGTTCATGTGCACGTCAACGATGCCACACCAATCCATGTGCACGTTAAGAGCCATAGGACAAGTCCTGCCAGGACACCTCAGGTTAGTGGCTGACTGATATTTGGACTGTTTGTCATAGTCATGACTTTCCTGCCTTTGTTTTTATTACAGCTGTGCACTTTTTGAAGATATGTGTCTCCTTGATGTTGCTTCTTTTTAATTTCTTGATCAGAAGTTTTGGAACTCATTCCACTCGCACACACACCTGTTCTCATACAGTGCAGTTATTATGTAGCAGTGTTGTATTAGACGACAAAGACATACATGCCGGTGCACACTGTGTTTTAAAGGGGAAGACAAAGGTGGACAGAAAGAACCTCCATCCTACAGCCAAGGTCAAAACACGAGTGCCATGGATTCCACCAGGAAAGACCTCTGTCCGGGAAGCTTCATACAAGTGGGAGGTAACTCAAATGAAAATTAGACCTCAGATTTTTTTTTAGGTCTTAACATTTTGAAAGAATTCATTCAGTGAGAGATGTAGTTTTACTGAAAGTGTAATTTGCACCAAGGGGCCAATGCACTGCCTTGAGATTACACCACCGCTTCCTGAACCAGAACCTGAACATTCCCACTCTGCATTGCGATTGGCTGACCTCACCTCAGAAGAAGAAGATGAGCTACATGGACGAATCAGCCACTATGAGAAAAAGGTTGACAGCTTACTGACTGAAGTCAGCTCACTGAAAAATGAGGTCAGTTTCTTCTCTGATTCCACTTTTGACCACTCAGGTCTGCATTACATGAGTTCTACTTGTGTCATTCTCTAATAGGCTTGAAACCCTCAGCAGGTTTGACTATATTCCACATTTGTTTCTAATTGGCTGATATTGATTGATTTAAAACAGGTCTTTTCACTATAAATGGGTGGATTATGAGACAAAGAGCCCCACCTCTCCTAGGTTGCAAGACTCACAGATTGAGCAACCATGTGATTTGTCAGATTGAGTCCTTTTACTCATTTTGCATGCCTTTGTCATCATTTTGCACCTGTTTATTTTTCAACTGTTCAACTTTCTTAGTTGTTTCCTTTTTTGTCCTTTGCATATTTCTGTAGTTGTTTTTCTGTCTTTTGGGCCCTTTTCTGTCTCCTTTTAGCCATTTTGTATCTATTTGTAGTAGTTTGCATTGCAGTTTTTTGTGGCTTTTTGCAGTCATTTAACTTTCCACTAGGCCCATAGAGTATTCTATCCATGAATAAAATGCTTTGTTTTTGTGTCTAAAATGGTTTACTTTTTAGAAACATGCATGTAAAATAACTAAGCTTTCATGGACACAGGATAATTGGCATAAGTGAATCCTCTCAGTCACAATTTTAGAGTGCCTTTTACAATAATCTTCACAATATGAGCCCAAGGTTTTATTTGAACATTTCAGACCTGGCACTGTGAAATTTAGCCAGGAAAGCTAAAGACTATCATTATAATAAGTCACTATCACTGCTAACGACATAAACTTCAAAATGCTCATGGCTCACACCAGAGCTAAAGCCTAAATATCCTTGTTGATGTTTCTTGACCTTCCTGGGAAAGTGTGCCACTGGTAGCTTGTAGCCAGTCTTCACTAGACTCATGGTAAACGACTCCAAATTCCTACATCTCATGGATCCACACCAAAAGCACATAGCAAGCTTAAATCTAGTTTTCACTATAGGAGTGTTGGACAAAATGGCCTTGAACTAAAGCCTCCCATTGGAGGCTGCTCTAAGCAACACAACCTCACATCCCACCTGGTGTCATTTTTACAATTCTAATCACGCAGTGTTTATGAGTTCATTGTTGCCAACTATCCAGCCAATATGAATTCTTTTCAGAAACACTCAGTAAAACATTCAGCGATATTCTGCAGGCTCAGTATCTCTGCATTAGTTATAATGTGGGCGACTGTAATTCGGTGGGTAGAACAGTTGTCTCCCAACTAGAGAGTTGGAGGTTCGAATCATGGTGCCTGCAGTCCACATGTTGAAGCGTCCTTGGGCAAGACACTGAACCCCAAGTTGCCCCTGATGGTTAGAGCCATTGGTGTGAGTTGGCGCCACAGATGGCTGCCTCGGTTCTGTACCGGAAACAAATTCCTTGTGTGTGTGTAACATACTTGGCCAAATAAAGTGATTATTATTAATATTCATCAGCAATGACTAAGATTTGAAGTCACGTGTCATCCGGCAGCCTGGCACCCTCACACACTTCACGTAATGACAACGAGTACTTCTGGCATGTCAGTGTTTGTATGAACCCAGTAACATATTGTTTATGTGTTTGTCTGTGTTTGTTGCTATACTATATGCGTACAGGTCGAACTGCGAAAGAAGGAGCAGTTACTAGAGCGTCAGTCAGAGCAGCTGAGTGTCTCCCAGCGGGTGATCACAGAGCAGGAGGAGGAGCTGGCTGAGGTGACTAAGGAGCTGGAAGAGACTGAGCGGGAGAACTCACGATTACGCCAATCCATGGAGAAGATGCTGGGGGAGTCTGACTACAACAGGCAAGTATTATGCTAAACACGTTGATAGCACTTTACATACAGTATAAAAGGGTGGGCTGGAAGGCAAATGTAAAATTTGTGGAAAAACTTCTCTTTGTTTCTTTTCACTTTTAATTCTAAACGGCGGTGTCGCTGGTCTAGTCTGAGACAACCTGGCCTGCATGTAGTGAAGGTTTTTCCCTACCAAATATTTTGCCTGTGATGTATTTGTTTACGTAGTCAATCATTCTTGCAACTTGTCAGACAGAGCCAACTGTTTTTGGAACTGGTTTTATACTTAATCATGAATAGAACAAATCATGGGTAAATTGGGGGCTAGCTGCTCTCTCTGATGCCTCCACAGTAGATAGATGGTTAGAAATTAGATTCTGTCTCTTTAAACCCTGTGTTCCAAGACCCAAATGAGACGCTTGGTTTCTGCCCGGGACTCAAAAATGCATCATAAATTTCTACATCTAGATTTAGAAACTACTGAACTAATGATCACAACAAACCCTGAATTTAAAATGTGGCCTATATGAAAGGTGTTTATTTTGTCATGAAAGTACATCATAGCAATAATGAAATAATGAGAGTAATGTTAAATTTCACCACCTAATAGTGAACTTCTGTGAAACAAACATAATTGAGACTGTCTGACAGCAGCATCAAATATAATGTTATAGTCATTACATTCAGGATGGACAGACCAACCTTAACATAGGCAGCAACATGTGTGGTGTATTATGCAATATACCTGCCATTTGTTTTATTTGAGAATAGTCCAGTCTGATCATATGCATTGATGCACAGAGCTGTGATTTACTTCAGTCACGCAGTAACATTCAGTAGACTGAAGAATCTGTGCTGGTTCCATCTCCTATTTCTTTTTCAGCATGTTTACATGGTACAGTCAGTATTTAGTATAATTTCAACTGCTGGGATGCCAGTCAATCATTATAGCAAAAGAGAATAGATGAGTCTTTTATAGGAGATATGCTGAGAGAGAAATTAGCAGCCCATTCTTATTTGTTGTAAGACAGAATTTGTATTCATCTGGACTCCTGTTCCTGTCTTGTCCTTGCAGACAAGACAGTGCACAGCAAGGCAAAGATGCTCTGCTCAGGAAACTGATGGAGGCTGAGATGGATGGGATAGCAGCTGCCAAGCAAGTATCAGCCCTGCGAGACTCTGTTTCCAAACTGTGCAGTGCTAGTGGCAGTGTGAGTATTAAGTCATTGTTTGGCCTCAGTATGTGCCCTGTAAGATCCAGCATGTTCTAAAAACTTGTGAGCTTTAGAAAGCAAGACTTGTGAAATGGTGAAATTTTCTGAAGCAAAGTACAGTCATCATGGCCATATTTAATGTCAATGTTAAATTAAAAATTCAATGATAAGTCATAAACAGTTTTTGCAACTTTCTTAGGTAAACCCATGTTTTTCTCCCTCTCTGTCTCCTATGTTTTCTTGTTTAGAAACTGTCTGGCTCTGAGTCTGCCCTCTTGGCCCATCAGAAGGAACTGTTGCTGCAGAAACTACAGTCATTTGAGGCCACAAACCGAACACTACGGAACCTTCTCAGAGAACAGCACGGATCCCAGGTACATGTATAACACATCTTAAAAACACTGTCTACATCTGCTAATACTCCAGTCTTATGTTAAACTGAATACACAGGGACACTGGTCACATTGAGGTGTAATGCTGCCAGCTCCAGAGTGCAGCAGGTGGAGATAGAAATTGTATAGACAGCTGTTGTTTCTCAAGGATACAGAAGTAAATGCAGTAAACCCAGTTTCTCCACAATGCCATAAAAGCAGTATATCCATGATAGTTTGACCATCATAATATGAATGGTTGACCATGAAAACCTATTGCTGGCATTTGGAATGACATTGATATCATAAGGGACTTCAGTGAGTGGACTCTGATCAAAGTGGTGAAGACACTTCTGCAGGTGTTCTTCTTGTTCACCAGCTGTTTGATAAACTGATCATACAGTCTGTGTTACTGGCCGATTGTTGCACTATGGAGTGATCCTTCATGTCCTCTGCTCAGTTGTGTGTGTGTCAGAGAGGAGCATAGGGTGATGGTTAAGGGGAGTGTACTGCTCGTTAGGTTCCGACAATGGAAACGCACCACCAGAACACTGGTGTCCTCCTGGCAGACAATAGTCTCACAATAGTGCTCTTAATGAGATATAGCTGCCTGCTAATAGAGCTAGCTTGGTCAGATAACAAGCACTCACACCTCTAAAAATGTCAGAACAAATTTCTAAATTGGCAGTACCTGGATAGACTGACCACATATGCTTAATCTAAGTGGTCACTTTGTCACCATAAAAAAAATGTCAAAACTTAATAAAATGGCATAATACCAGTCCTAGGGATGAAAATGATAACAGCTTTGAGCCTGGCTCTAAATCTCTGCTGTCAAGCTGTTGCCAGGCTGTTGCTGCATAGAGCAGATCTCTCCCCAGCTGTGGGCTGTCATCTCACCGGGTGCCTTCAGTCCCTGTCTCACACAGCGAGGTGGACTGGTGACAGCACTCGGTTTCCATTGTTGCTAAGGGCTTTGTCTCTGTATGTGCTCAGAGTGCTCAGCCACACAGCCACACTCTTTGGGGCTCGCGTACAGTCAGCAGCCTTTCCAACACTCACAATGGTTAATAATCTTTTAAAATATTCCTGTATCCAAATTATGACATGGATCAACACTAAAATCTAATCATTTGTTCTGTGAGCCATACCCTATGCCTCCAAAAAATTACATCAAAATCTGTTCATTACTTTTTGACTTGCACTGCTAACTAACTAATTAACAAATGCAGGTAAAACATAACCCGCACCCTTGGCAGAGGTAAAAATACCTACCAGTTGACAATTTTATATTGTCTCTCAGCGTATTGACATATTATATATTACCTTAAATTGTCACTCCTGGTCTCTAAATAGTTTTCTTGTGACATTGTCAGCAGTAGTATACAGTGTTTGTTAAGCAGAGTGACAAACTACTTATAATGTGTGTTGGTAAACTGTTTTGAGCAGATGGAGGCAGTCCGAATGTCAGAGCAGAAGGACGCATTACTTAAGAGACTGGCAGACACAGAGGCAGAAAATGCTGTGAGTTTAACAGAAGTCTGCAAAACCTTCTTAATTTCATTTTAATTAGTCATACTTGTTTGAATTTTTTTTCTTTCTCATAAACAAGCTGATATCTATCATGATTTTTTTTTATATTCATTGAATTGTGTCTGACATACAATGCATAATTAAAACTTTTGCTTTTCCTTTGACAGCATCTTGTGGTGAAACTTCAAGAGAAATACAGAGAGGTTAATCAACTCTCCAAACTTTTAGACTCTGAGAAGGTATTGTGAGCACTGCTTGCAGTATGTGTGATGCTTTTTGTTGTAAATATGTCTGGGTCAAACAGTGGAGCTGACTACGACAGGGATCGTAAACAAAGCAATATCTTATTTAAACATTTCTTGTTTTTGTTAAGTAGGTTAAAGCAGAATTATACATAATGAGAAGTCAGAAAAAAAGGAAAGGCATGCCATGGGCCCTTTAATGTAATGTTAATATTCTTCTGGATTGTGGTAATGCAGAACAATACCAAAAGCACTGCTGATTTGTCCAAGAATCTGGAGTCAACACGAGCTCATTTACAAGGACAGCTCCGCAACAGAGAAGCTGACAACAACCGACTTACTGTGCAGATAAAGGTTTGTCATTGGATCTTCTCTCTCCAAGTACATTCCATCCTGCATAATTATTTGTTGTTGTTTGTGGTGTGTATTATTATTATTATTATTATGTACTTGCTAAATTAAGTTTGAATGCTTTTGTCACCAAGGCCACTGCAGTTATGCTCATTGTTTTCAATATGTCTTTTGTGTATCAGTGGTTGTCTGATCCTTATACTGATAGTAAAGCACATATTGATACTGATACTAAAGCACAATCGGTAAACCCAGCTCTAATCCTTGGTTTTCTCCTTTCTGTTGGTTCAGAACCTGGAGCGAACAGCCAGCCAACAGAAGGCAGAGATGGATCACCTCAAGGAACAGCTGACAAGGCTGAAGCAGCAGGCCAGTACAGACCGAGAAGCTCTGAAACGAGCCACACGAGCCCAGAAACAACGAGCTACGCACAGTGAAGATGCTGCAAGCCAGATGAGCATCCAGCTGCTGGATATGGTAGGGCTCGGTCATAGAGCAAACAGGCTGTTCTGCAGAATAATTCTACAATTAATTTGGATACCAAAAGGGTTATACTGTGAAAACAACCACCAAATACAATGACTGATTAAGATAGTCATTTTATTAGGCAAATTTCATATCTACAAGTTTGCCAAGACTCTCCCACTTCTTGAATTATTTGACGTTGATTTACAAAACTACATTGAATCTACAAAATAATAAAAAATACCAACAAACCTTTAGTTTAATTCAACAGCTTTAAATAAGCACAAACTCAGCACCTTTGTCAAGATATCCTTATTATATATCCTGTATTATATATTCTCTGTTTGTATTTATTTTTTTATTTCAATTTCAGATTAGTTTAGTTTCTTATCTACTTTTACTTATCTTCTTTTCGCCTAGTTTACCATCACTTTAGTATCAAATTGATATTCCCATGTATTCTGTTTCTTATTAATAATTGTTATAGATGTCTAAATGTCTAATGGAAGTTTAAAAAGGAGAGAGACACTAAAGTAATGAACCAAAGTGACAAAAGTCAGATTATCTTTCATTTTAACAGGAGAAGCAGCTGGAAGATGCATTGTCAGCAGCTGAGACTTGGCAAAGTCGTCATGCCCAAGAAGTAAAAGACAAGAGTAAACTGGAGATTGAACTGTCTCTGTTGAACAGGTAATTCCACCTCTTTTACAGCAAATTTTTACAAGCAAATAGCTGAGTGTCTTTCCATATAATAATCAGATATCTAGTGATGATCTTAAGTGACAGTCAGTCCAGAATTCCCCTGGTGACTGGCGGTGTGGCAAAAGCAAAAGGGGAGAGGAGGCACTGTGGGAAGGAATATAACTCACTAGCTAACAGCAGCAGTCCACAAATATGTAAATTAAACAGTGTTTTTTTTGAACATTTTGCTCTAACTAACCTCTGTTTCTGTCCTCACATTCACTACAGCCAAAGAAGCGTGTTTCTTTTCTGTTGCTTCTGTTACGTATTTCTTAATATACTTTCATCTTCAAAGTCATTCTTCTAGTTCTTTGGATCATGAAGGGCTCTATTAAATAAAGATCTGCACATGCGTAAGAGTCAGGACAACTTCCTTCAGATATATGGCCATTTATTTACAGTATTTGTACATATAATGAACAGGTGGAGTTGAGAAATGTGATGCCTCTTCAAATAGTGGGCTTGTAGATATTGGCATTTAGAACCATGTCAGATAATAAAAGATAACACCGATAATATTTTTATTGGTTTCCTAAATCAAGATACCAAAAGACTGGTAATAGTCAAAGGTGGGACAGAGAAACAGTGATCAGCGTCTAAACCAACTTAGAATACAAGGTGTAGTCAGAGAATACACCATAAGGCTATACTAAGTGATAACAGATCCCTGCAATGGTTTAGAAGGCCACTGCCTGAAGAGGTCAGTTAGATTATTTCTGGAGAAAAGACTTTGGAGCATCTCATGACATAAAGCATGGACCGTCCCTATGGCACCGTGTGGAGAAGGACAACTGAGCAGTCCCTAGGTGATCTTCTCCAGCTCATGGAGAAGGACAACTGAGCAGTCCCTAGATGGTCTTCTCCAGGTCTATCTTACAGGTCAGCTGATGCCATGAAGCTAGGCAGTCAGTTGGGTGCAGACAGCAGAATGTTAGGCAGGTGAAGTATTGGCCAGATGTAGCTGGTGGAGGCAGCTGCTGCAGGAGAAGAGCAAAAGCAGAAGAGTGTATAAGAACAGCAACATAAAGGGGCTCTAGTGTAAAATGGACAAAGGATATCTGAATTAGTTACTGTCAGTTTATTAGGTACACCAAGCTAAAACTAATGCAGTCTAATCCAACAGCCCTACAGTAAATCCTCCTTCATAATGGTGGTGATGTTCAGTTTGTGTTCACAGAGAGGTGTCAGTTCAACTGGATGATCGATGTGGAGGCTGGAGTTTGCTGCTTCTGAGCTATGCTTATACATTATATAGAGCCGTTTCTTTTATTTACCCTAGCCTCTTTGATATAAATGGGGTGGACAAAATAATAGAAACATTATCAGGATAACACAATACAATTCAACAGCAGTATCTTCAACTACATCTTCCAAAATGATCACACAGTTGAATCAACACCTCTCCTGAAACAGTTTGAATAAGCGAGGATTTATTTTAGGACTGTTGGATTAGACTTAGTTTTAGTTAGCTGTCAATTTTTAGGTTCACCTAAGTGTAAAGAAGCAGCAACCAGGGGAGCTGACCTCATCTTGATGCACATCCTAACGGTTACACCTATTAACAGATGTTCCTTTTCTCAAATTTGGATATATCTGGAATGTCAGAGAAGTTTCCTGAGATCTCAGCATTTGTGCAGCTTTTAGAGACTATGGTCTTAAGACTATGGAACAAAGGGGTGCTCTGAAGCACTACTTTTAATAGAAAGGGGACCATCCAAAAAGAGGTTTGTGTGTGTTTGTGTGTTGTCCTTTTACATAAGAGTGAGCATATGACATTTGTTGTGTCATGTGGTACAACAGCCGTATAGCAGAGCTGATGGAGCAGCTGCACAGAGTGAAAATTTTCTTGTTTAAAAAAAAAAAAAAAAAAAAGCAGGGTTGATTGGTAAAAAATTGAACCTGAGCCGTTTGTTTTTTAAATTTCTGTTACTTTTGGTCAGAGCACCCGCTTACACTTCAGTGTTACACAGGATCTACAGGATAAGGCCAGTCATATTCTATATTAACAGTATTTTCAACACTCCCCATATAGAGACAAAGATCAACAATGAATTGCCTCTACTCATAGCTAATGTCTGTCAGTCCTGGAATAGTTTCTTCGTCTGTGCCATAGACCTCCATTGTTATTAAACAATTAAAAACACATCAGTGAAACACACTGCTGCACTGGGTGACATGTTTCTTCATTAGCAAACACCAAAACTGAGCATGAGGAGCCAGTGGAATGTAAACAAAGCTGAGAGTTTGTGTATGTGCAGTTGACTCTGACTTATGCTGAACAGGAAATTATGGCTGCTTGGAGCCTTTGGGGAAACATATTTGGGTCTGAGGTTTTGTAATGAAATATGTTTCACGTGCTGAACGTGGAAGTAATGCAGTCTGGGCCGTGTCTGGCTACCGCATCTTTTTATTTTTGTTCAATTTATGGCATAAGAAGTAACTATGCATCACTGTTTGCTGAAAATATTGTGCATTTTTTCCATTTCCAAGAGAAACTGTGTTAACATCTGTTCAAATAAAAAATCACCAAAATCTGTTATTTATCAAGGGGTGCCTAAACTTTTGCATAAGACTGTAACTCACTAGCTAACAGCAGCAGTCCACAAATATGTAAATTAAACAGTGTTTTTTTTGAACATTTTGCTCTAACTAACCTCTGTTTCTGTCCTCACATTCACTACAGCCAAAGAAGCTTGTTTCTTTTCTGTTGCTTCTGTTACGTATTTCTTAATATACTTTCATCTTCAAAGTCATTCTTCTAGTTCTTTGGATCATGAAGGGCTCTATTAAATAAAGATCTGCACATGCGTAAGAGTCAGGACAACTTCCTTCAGATATATGGCCATTTATTTACAGTATTTGTACATATAATGAACAGGTGGAGTTGAGAAATGTGATGCCTCTTCAAATAGTGGGCTTGTAGATATTGGCATTTAGAACCATGTCAGATAATAAAAGATAACACAGATAATATTTTTATTGGTTTCCTAAATCAAGATACCAAAAGACTGGTAATAGTCAAAGGTGGGACAGAGAAACAGTGATCAGCGTCTAAACCAACTTAGAATACAAGGTGTAGTCAGAGAATACACCATAAAGCTATACTAAGTGATAACAGATCCCTGCAATGGTTTAGAAGGCCACTGCCTGAAGAGGTCAGTTAGATTATTTCTGGAGAAAAGACTTTGGAGCATCTCATGACATAAAGCATGGACCGTCCCTATGGCACCGTGTGGAGAAGGACAACTGAGCAGTCCCTAGATGGTCTTCTCCAGGTCTATCTTACAGGTCAGCTGATGCCATGAAGCTAGGCAGTCAGTTGGGTGCAGACAGCAGAATGTTAGGCAGGTGAAGTATTGGCCAGATGTAGCTGGTGGAGGCAGCTGCTGCAGGAGAAGAGCAAAAGCAGAAGAGTGTATAAGAACAGCAACATAAAGGGGCTCTAGTGTAAAATGGACAAAGGATATCTGAATTAGTTACTGTCAGTTTATTAGGTACACCAAGCTAAAACTAATGCAGTCTAATCCAACAGCCCTACAGTAAATCCTCCTTCATAATGGTGGTGATGTTCAGTTTGTGTTCACAGAGAGGTGTCAGTTCAACTGGATGATCGATGTGGAGGCTGGAGTTTGCTGCTTCTGAGCTATGCTTATACATTATATAGAGCAGTTTCTTTTATTTACCCTAGCCTCTTTGATATAAATGGGGTGGACAAAATAATAGAAACATTATCAGGATAACACAATACAATTCAACAGCAGTATCTTCAACTACATCTTCCAAAATGATCACACAGTTGAATCAACACCTCTCCTGAAACAGTTTGAATAAGCGAGGATTTATTTTAGGACTGTTGGATTAGACTTAGTTTTAGTTAGCTGTCAATTTTTAGGTTCACCTAAGTGTAAAGAAGCAGCAACCAGGGGAGCTGACCTCATCTTGATGCACATCCTAACGGTTACACCTATTAACAGATGTTCCTTTTCTCAAATTTGGATATATCTGGAATGTCAGAGAAGTTTCCTGAGATCTCAGCATTTGTGCAGCTTTTAGAGACTATGGTCTTAAGACTATGGAACAAAGGGGTGCTCTGAAGCACTACTTTTAATAGAAAGGGGACCATCCAAAAAGAGGTTTGTGTGTGTTTGTGTGTTGTCCTTTTACATAAGAGTGAGCATATGACATTTGTTGTGTCATGTGGTACAACAGCCGTATAGCAGAGCTGATGGAGCAGCTGCAGAGAACAGATAATAAAGGCAGAGTGGAGAGAGAAACCCTACTGGGTCGGCTCCATGGACTGACCACAGAGAGCACTGCTGCCAAACTGGAGAACCAGTCCCTCAAGGTGAAACACCCAACAGAAAAATTCATTTCCATTTACAGTGACAGCATGTTTATTGAATATCAGCCAGACTTCTGTAATCAGAATTTCTATATACTGTAACTGTGATGGTTTTGTGTTGTGGATACTGGCCTTCCTATCTTCATTTGTCATTTTGATAGCCTTACAGTGACTTATGCTACATTAGAAACATGGACTGTCTTGTACATTTACAGCTGTAACTGTTGACATGTAAGGTAAACTTGTGTTCCTGTCAGGCTTCAGTGTCTGCAGTGGAGGAGAAGCTGGCCTTGTCTCAGTCAGAGCTTCAGCAGGTTAAAGCTTCTATCAAGCAATATGAAAGCCTAGTGGATAGCTATAAGATCCAGGTATATATCAGTCGTACTGTACACAAGGAGCGCAACAGTTTGAGATGGCAGCAGATGACCGTTACCCAGTTTTGTCTTCTGTTACCGTCACTGTCCAGGTGGGAAAAATGCGGGCTGAGGCGGATGAGTATGGTGCTCGGCTGGCTCAAGCGGAACAGGAGGCCCGGGCAGTGCAGGGGGAGCTGGAGCAAGAGATAGAGGGAGTGCGCAGGGAGCTACGTGGACGGCTAGCAGAGCTGGAGCCTCTTCCTGAAGCCTTGCGACGCTCTGAGCTGCAGCTGCAGGAGGCTCAGGACAGGGAGCGATGCCAGGAGAGACGCACCACGGAGCTCAGCACAGCACTGACTGATCTCCGCATGAAGGTTACAAGTTCAACTTAGCATCAAAAAATGCTTATTGTTAATTTCAAGTCAAAGTGCTCAGTCGAAAACCAATCAGATATTTTCACATAAATTTTGAACAGTAAACACATTCCACACTAGCTGCTTTACAGTCTTGCATTAAGCAATGGCAGATTATGACAAGGAAATCCTAAAACGATCATGTAAGATTTTATTTTGTTAGAAAAAAAGTCCCACAAGGGAGAGTTTGTGAGACTTGTATAAACCAAGTTGCTTCTGCATAGAAGTACTAGAACATACATGCACCTTTTTGAGCTTTAGGTCACGTCTAAGATGATAATTCACCATTGTAACATTGTCAATAAGTCAAAAAACAAAGAAAAGCATGCCATGGGGTCTTTAAAGTACTTCTCTTATCTGTTTTTTTTTTTAGGTGGAGACCCAAGGCAGCCTGGTGGAGCTTTATAGACAAAAGAACAAGGTGCTACTGGAGGAGAACAGAGAGCTCCAGCAGCGAGTGGAGAGTTTGGAAAGGTCAGTGAGAATGTGATCATTCTTTAAAATATAAGATGTATTTTTTTTTTCCCCATAAACAGATTTATGAAAGTTTATTCACAATGGAAAATGACACTGGAAAGGGTAAGTCACACTGAATCTAAGGAAATGTGTATTAAATCAGTGTGTTCAGGTTTAGCAGAATTACAGCTCTGAGGAGGAGTGTGATTTTTGTTGCATATTTCCTTTTCTGGTCCAAACTATACAACACATCTTACTTAATGCTCAAAGTGCTCCCACATTCTGCTCCTGGCTTTTGTGTGGTTTACTATTACACATTCTCACTTTATGAGAAACATTAATGGAAATGTATCATCTGATCTGCTTAATGAGTTTCATAATCTTATGTCAATGACAAATGAGTATTGATAGCATAGTTTAAAAAAATGCCACCGTCTTTATGATATGAGACTCTGCGCTGGTTACCTGTTTATTATAACTGTTTATTTTGTTCGTCACTGTTTTCTCGTTTGTCACCTCACAGAAAGCTGGAGGAGGCTGGCAGTCAGAACAGTGATCTGCAGGCGGTCATTTCCAAACGGGAAGACACCATCCACAGCAGTCAGCTCTGCATGGAAGAAAAAACAAGAGAATGCTCCCTGCTGAGCAGAAAGCTAGAGGAGGCTCTGGATGATGCTCGCCAACAGGTCTGAGTCCGACAACAGCTGAATCCTTCTAAACACTGGCCTTACAAAGTGTCTGCTCAAGAATCTACACTTATAGATATTGATTAAAACATAGCCTCCTCACTCATTTCAATGAGACCTCTATATTGACACAACGGGGGCATGATGCAAAGGTTCTTCTGAGAACATGCACATACACAAACTTCTGAGAGTTTGTGTATGTGCAGTTGACTCTGACTTATGCTGAACAGGAAATTATGGCTGAGACCAAGATCAACAATGAATTGCCTCTACTCATAGCTAATGTCTGTCAGTCCTGGAATAGTTTCTTCGTCTGTGCCATAGACCTCCATTGTTATTAAACAATTAAAAACACATCAGTGAAACACACTGCTGCACTGGGTGACATGTTTCTTCATTAGCAAACACCAAAACTGAGCATGAGGAGCCAGTGGAATGTAAACAAAGCTGAGAGTTTGTGTATGTGCAGTTGACTCTGACTTATGCTGAACAGGAAATTATGGCTGCTTGGAGCCTTTGGGGAAACATATTTGGGTCTGAGGTTTTGTAATGAAATATGTTTCACGTGCTGAACGTGGAAGTAATGCAGTCTGGGCCGTGTCTGGCTACCACATCATATTTGCTTTGCAGCCCAGTGCTGATTCTGGGGGCTTGGTTACACCCAGAGGCTTTTGCAGCTTGTGATAGGTGTGTATAATTATAAGCATGTCTGCTTGTCTTGAAGTGCATTCTATTAGGGATATAGAAGGATACAGTGTATCAAGTGTGCACATTTTTCACCCACTGTTAAGTTAAATAGTCTATTTATCTCCAGATGTCCGAGACCAGAGAACATGCTGCCACCAAAGAACGTTCTACACAGTCTAAAATATTGGACTTAGAGACCCAACTCAGCAGAATGACCTCAGAAATCAACCAGCTGCAACACAGCAAAGAGGAGGTAAAGGCCTCTGTTAACTTACTCAGCATTTTCTATGTAAATAGTTAGTGGGTTCTTAAGGTGTGTATTTATGATGTTCAGGTGGAGCGACGATATCAGAGCCGGCTACAGGACATGAAGGATCGCCTGGAGCAGTCAGACAGCACCAACCGAAGCCTGCAGAACTACGTCCAGTTTCTCAAAGCGTCCTATACCAATGTGTTTGGAGATTTGGCCCTCAGCAGCTAAGTGGGCCTCATCACCCTTCTGATAGCCTGTGCCTTTCCAGAACAGTACTGTGCTTTGGGCCTGCTACTTTTTTGTGAAGATCCCTTCCTGTAAAGATTTGTTTGGAATGAATTTGGTAATTTGGTGGACAATAAAATATGTAATGGATTTAAAAAATTTAATTCTAAAAAGAAATCATCTAAGATTAAAACCCTTAAATGTGGGATTTATAGGAGGAGGTGTTATCAAGTAAGACACCGTAGTAAACAGCAATACCAAGAATGTGAATGTTGAATTTGACCCAGAGATGTTGAGAATTTAGGATGAGTCATCGCAGTCTGAAATATATTATAATCACATATAAACTGGATTCATAAGAGCTTTAAATTAAAATCAGCATGTGTTAAACATTAGATTGATAGTCACCTTCACCCATACTAAATTTTACCAGATGCTGAATGTGTTTCTCACACCTTGTTAGATTTGCCGGATGTACAAACTTAGTGAACTATGTACAGTCAGCATCTCACCTCAGATTTAATAAATGTACTTTGAAAAAGCTTATGTGGGTATTTTGCTATGCAAAATATTTAGTTAATACAAACTAATAAATGATGATGGGCTTTAAAGTGAAAGCAGTATTTGGCCTTGAAAGCATTTGTACTTGGTGCTTTTCATGCTTTCTAAATATTTTTCAGATTTTTTTTTTCTCAGCACCAAATACCCACATATGAACTTCTAGTTTACACAAAGTTTTGAATATGTTTTGATGGTGGCTTGTAATATTTCAGACTGAAATTTCTTCAGAAATGTATTGTTGGATATTGAGTTTTGTATTTCACGTGCCAAAAGCATAAATTGCAAATGGTTGTTAACAATCCTGTTGCCTATTCATGACAAAAGGTAATGTCTACCAGAATTAACAGTTAGACTATATATTGTGTTTGTACTGCTATACACTAAAATATTTTTGAGTTTGTTTTAAAATTTCTCAAGTACAGCTTTGTAACTGAGCCATCTATGACACATTATGTGTTTACATGTATATGTGATTTTGATTATATGGAGCTGAAAACATTGGTGCTATTGCTCTCTTTTGGCCGGTGATTTGACTTTGGGTGTCAAAACAGTGATTTTGGGTTTGCATTCACACGTTAAAAGTTTTTGCACATGTTGTTTCCCTTTACTTTCAGAGTGTACTGTATTTAACAACTGAATAATTTATGCCTTAACTGGATAACTGACAGAGCTGCAATAAAACAAGAGGAAGACGTTGAAAACCACGAAAATTGAACTGCACAATACAAAGTCTTGGACTGGTAGCTACAATTACAGTGCATTCTGCACATGACCTGTGGCCGGTGTGCATGAATAACAAGCAATTAATCTATTTAGTGAGTGCCTGTTTGTGCCACAACCACTATTACGGCTTTATTTATTTATTTATTTGTTTGTTTGACAATCGGCGATGAATAACTCAAGTAACAAATTGGCAAATTTTGTTGTGTGTTACGCTCAGACACGTTCGGCTCCATTCGGTGTCTCTCGTTTACTTCCGTGCAGTGCAGAAGATTAGGTCCCAATTTGTTAAAAAAAAAAAAAAAAAAAAAAAAAACCTGCCACCCCATAGAGCAGCTTCTCGTCTCATCCTACGTCGTCGATTCGTCAAGATAACTACCATTTCGTAAGCTCTTTAGAAAACAGACCAAGGTATGAAAATGCCTATATTTTTCATTGAATTTATAGCATTAAAAGAGATTCGTTGCACAGTGTAGATTGTGCTTTCCTCGCCCTAGCTGCTTTGAATCATTAGCTCCGCGGCTACCTTTAGAAAAGTGGCTGCAAGCATTCCTTTTGTTGAATGGTGTTTTATGTCTGTTAAGGCAAAGAAAAAGTAAAAAAAAAAAAGTAGTGGCAGACTAGACTTTATCTTGCCTTTTCCTAGAGCTGTCTATGGGTTAACAGTTAGGTATAATTTAAATGTTAGTATGACCCGTTCTACTAAATGACATTAGCTTGTATTGACACCTTTTCACCTGCGTTGCATTCAAACTAAATGGTTAATCTAGAAAACATTCATAAGTCGATATATTTAACATCAGCAAACTATTGTGTTTTCCGTCTGGAAGGTGGAGCTAACGTTATTAAATGTTTACGTTAACGAATATAACGCTAAACCAGGGGTTTGTCCTGAGCTGTTATCTGCTAGCTAGTCCGTTAGCTGGCCGACAGCGTAAATTTGCTGTAACGTTAATGCGACCTGATTTACCAATATGCATTAAAATAGACCTTTCCTCGGAGACTGTGCATTATATTTTCAATCAACAAATCAGAAATAACTGAAATAAAAATGAAAAGGTCATGTAGATGGTTACATTAGCCTGTCGGCCATTGCTGATAGGGAAACGCCCAGTGCAGCTGAATACCTTTGGCCCAAAACCTTGACAGCTGGACTGTACATTCGGGCCGTGTAGAGCAACATACCCTGGTAGACGGGTGTTCTCAGATGAACACTTGTGAAATTAAGTGTAAGTAGCTGGCATTACAAATATTTAAGAACTATCAACCCATGAAAAGATCCTAGTATTTACAACAGTATGACACAATAACTTTTCATAAAATAGTGTGTAGTTGGCAGCAGATAACGTAAAGGCGCTGTCTCACACCTTTGCCACTGACTGTCCAAATGTATTTGTCAGGGTGGTGTCAAGTTCTTCTCATTCCAACTGGCCCTCCACCCCATAGTCTTAACTAGCGTACTCATCTGGTGGTCATTCAGTTCCTTTCAGAAAAATAATTTAAAAAGCTGTTTTAAAACGTTGGATTCAATTCAGCTTTACCACTGCGTTCACAATATGAAATAGTTTTATATATGGTAGGCCAGTTGTTTTTAAACAGTTCTTCCATTTGAGTAGGTATAGATTGGGTATAGATTTAGCTGTTCACCCAGTCACCTGGACTCACTTCAAATGTAAGAAGCCATGTGGAAGCAGCAGGAACAGGGAGTTGCACAGTGTTTATTACAGGAATTCATATACCTTGTCTTGGCTCAAAACACAAAATCTGGTGACAGCAGTTTGGATTAATTAATTAGTATGACAAAATTAAACATGTAGTGTGTGCCATTGTTTGGCAGCAGTCTGTGTGCTCCTGGATTTCTAAGTGTGTCAAGCAGAAGAAATGCAGGTAGCACTGTCAGCTTATGCTAGTAATGCAGCCGGCATTAGCTGAATGCTGGAAACTGATCGGATACTTCTGTAATACAGAAACATGGAAGCAAAATGGGACAGCTGCACCACCTAAAATAATTCCCATATATTCCCAAGGCAAATTACATGTCCCTCCCTACTGCCTCATTTTAATTGTCCTACAGTCTTGACTTGAAAACATGTCATATAACTACTGTACTCCATGCTACAACTGACACAGACAGTATAGAAACGTTTAACTCTGAGCAGCAGTGATATGTGTGTGTGTGTATACACACACACAGCCATATACAGTATATAAAATGCACATCAGTTAGCTGTGATTCAGAGTAGGCCTGTCAAAGCGTTAGTCCAGTGCATTACATACTGTAGGCCTATGTGATAAATTAAATGGCCATTCAAGGTAGTGGTGTTCAGTTGTTTGTGCATGGTCCGCTCTGCAGTCATTTGCCATCAGTGTTTTTGTTTTGTTGTTGTTGCTGCTATTGGTAATGTAAACAGTTTGAACACAGCTATGTATATACTGTAGACCTTGTTGTATATCTTGCTAAGGTGAATTAAAACCTATATATTTCTCTTCTCCTAACTCCCCCTCAACCCATACAGCCTACAGATTGTCGTTTTACATTGTAAAATTTGTAACTATAGGGTCACCATGACCCATATAGAAAATAGGACTCCTCATCTCAAGGGCTGTCAGATTTAGTGCTGGGCCTGCAGATCCAGTGCAGCCTACTTTCCAGACTTTTTGAGACTCTATATGGAAGATTTGAGTCCTTTGCATCTCAAATGTGCAGTGAGTTGCCTTTTGAATTGACTGCTGAACATTGTCATGATGAACTTTCTGTGAAAACAACCTCTTATACTGACTCCTCCCTGCTGATTGCTTCTTATGGATTGTGCGATCGATGTTATTCCCTGTAACCAGCCTACACGTACACAGCATGTCAACCTTTACTAAACCCAAACTAAAGGTAACAACTACATTTGTGTTAATACTGTGTGCCTCTGTGTGTTTCTGTGTGCTATTGTCTTTTAGTTTGTAGGGGAAAGAAGGTTCGAGAGGAGTGTAGTCCAGCTTTGGTAATGTTGTTATGCTGAGTAAAGGGATGGAACAGAGCTGGAGGGAGGGGTAGGAGGCATGGAGCAGAGAGACGCATGGGCTGGGCTACATCTTGGCTTGCTCTTGTGTACAGCATAGTCATTGCAGGTGCAATGCGTCTGTTTGTGCTGTTATAGATGAGGCTTTGCTTCCTCAATCACCATCAGACTGTTGAGGACTGTACAACAGATGTGCAGACTGACTTTGCCACAGATGCAGCCCTCTGATCAGCCAAAATAGAAGAAAACTTCCTGTGTATGGTTTGGTTTTGCACTTTTTTTTCTCGCTGTCAAAACTGTCAGCTCTGATCTATCAATATGAAAGTGTAATATCTGATTTAATTTGAATGACACAAGGACTTGGTAAGTGGCTTCTGCTGTGAATTGTGTTCGTCTGTCTCTCTTGGGTGACACTTGCCCAGGACTAGTTTCAGGGCTTTCAGTATGATATAATAGTCATTAGTTGATTGTTACTGCATGCCTTTTGTTGCTGTGATATTCTTTGCATGGAAATGAAGTTTGGTCTTATTATATTTCAAGATATTTCAACGTTTGACATAGTGGTCAGTCCATCAGAAATCACTGATTATTTTTCTAGTTATCAGACTTAGACTCGTTAAATATTGATAAATAGTGTTTTCCAGGGCTACTGCTCTTGTTAATGTAGTTTTATAGAACATTTCCTGTAGATTCTGGTTAAAAAAATAGTTCAAATTTTGATACGGATTTTATATTTAACACCTGTAGTTGGTTGTTAAAGGCTACAAACCTGTTAAAGGATTGCTGAGTAACCATGCCTCAATTTCCTGATTTTTTGCTGTTGGCATTTATTGTGAACTTGTACATCACATATTGGCCTTAAATTTGAAACATTTCTTCAGATGCACAGTTCAACCTGAGGAAAAGGAAGCGATTGTTTCCATTGTTCCTGTTATATCATTTTCATCCTCTGTTTTCTGTTCCTTGGTCGGGAGAGACCTGCCTAGTCTCATGAGATGCTCCATTTCCTGCAAATTCTTTCAGTTGTCATCCTCCCAGTTATGGCGTCAGTATGGCCCCTGTTCATAACAGAGGGTTCAGCATGGTCTCTGGGAGTTGCTGAATAAATGACATCATCCACTCCTCTGTGGGTCTCTGTAACAGAGGATGTAGAGACAGACAGAGGGTAATGAAATGTATTAATTGAGGACACTTGGGATTTACCCTTTGGTTCAAATTAAACTCTTGACCTCATCAAGCCTGCCTTGAGCTGTTGTTGAACACAAATACTTAAAGACAGGGCTGTTTGGTATCAGTGTAGCAGTTTGTTGTGAGGATGAAAAGTTTTGTTTCCACCAGGCAGGATGAACAGATCTTGGTGAACGGTTTCCAGAGAGTAAATCAGCTGATTACTGTTATATGCGGATACTCTTTTTAATGGAGGGAATCATTAACCTTTATTCATGCACCCATGGATTATGTCCTGGGAGAAAAGGGGGGTGTTGGAGGGGAGGGTTAGTGAAGGTAGCCCACCTACACTAACCCTCCTCTCCAGCATTTTCTGAATCCCACTGGGATTCCCTGGGATATTAGACATTGAGTAAAAAGCACAAACACCATTGTAAAATAAAACCTAGAATTTAATACCTTGCTTAAATTGCTGCACCATATGAGTGGTGTCTCATTAGCATGTACCAGTATGTATTTGGGATGCTGTTCTACTTTTAAATGGCATGAAGTCCTTAACTGACAAATACTACTTCTCATTAGTAAGTGTCTTTTAAATTTGGTATGCCACTGTTATATGTGTTCTTTGTATTGCTTGAGTATTTGTTTCAGCTCACCAAGTCAGCTCAGGGAACACTGATAACGTTTTATATAAATGAGAGTTTATATATATATATTTTTTTGTCTTAATCTTCTGAGCCTAATAACCACTTTGGCTGCATCATTTCTAAACAGGAAGGTGCCAGTAGAATAACTTTGCATCTGCTGTTTCT